TGTATATATAATATATATATATATATATATATAATCTAACACGACACATCTGCAAACGTAGATGTGTCGTTTTAGTTTTGAAGCAGCGATATGTATCGCTAGCTCTATTTTTTTTTTAAATATGTATGTTTACACCAAGATTTGTATTAATGCAGGGTGTTCTGAAATAATCGGCCATCCTTAACATATATTTTTAGAGTCCTTGTCAAAAAGAGAAGTCCTCATAGGGAATCTTAAATAATTATTTGAGCAATAGTATATATAGTATATAAGACATGTAAACAAACAGGGTAAACCAAAGGAGGAAGCAATAAAAAACCAAAGACGCTGTCGAATTCTAGCGAAGTGCTATTGAGAAAGAAGGTACTGAAAGCATCAAAACATGTTTGATTGCTAGAAGAAACAGTACGCAGCTGAAAGGGTATGATTTGAAAGGCTTCCAAATTACATCAAGTTTTAAGTCTTTCCCTCCGCGTTCTTCACAAGTGATTGGACAAAATTCGACAACCTTCTTGTAAGGTTCCTGGTGGCTCAGGGGTTGGAGCACTCGCCTCCCAACGAGATGACTCAAGTTCGAATCCCAACGATAGTTGGTTGATGCGAATTACACTCTCGGTGTGCACCGGCCACAGTGCTCACATTGAAAATAATGTACAGTGTTCTGCATGCATTGTGGTTTAAAATTTCCTTGGCGTCGAGCTAACTGTGGGAGATTTTTGTGGTGTTTTTCTCTGTATGTGAAGCAAATACGGGTTAGGTCCATCAAAAAGTCCTCCACGAAGGCTAGTTTTTTTCCGATGCATGATCCAAGAGTTTTTTGTCTTCTGGGTTGGGTTTAAAATTACAAGGCAGCGAAGTTGAACATTGATAGTCGTTATCTCAAAATTTGGAGGACAGTTCAATGCTGGGCTATGAAATAAAAACAATTTTTTTGCTTTTATTTCGCTTAAATATTGAAAAATAGCACATATTGGTAAATGTTTTTCTTCTTTTACTTTTTTCTTTAAGATTTACAGTGATATGCACAAAGGATGGCTTTTAAGTGACAATCTGCTTATGATGAAGAAACTCGTAGTAAGCATATATTATTAAATTTATTCTAACAAACTGAAGGTCTAGTTAGTGCTCTAGTTTACTTCTAAAATAGTAAATTGCATTTCAAAATAAAGAGAGACAAATTGAAAGGTGGATTGAAAAAAAAAATTCTTTCGTAAATTCTAAATATGAAAAAAAGAAAACAATAAAATTAAATAGTAAATGTCATTAAAATTATTTATTGATCTCATGAATAAGCGAAATTTTGTGTGATAAATGTTTAATTTTTGTATTTTTCCCTTTCTTTCTTGCTATTAATTCCGATCTCATCAATATTTAAATAAAGAAGGTAAATTGAAATATTTCTGTATTTTTCATTTGATTTATGAGGCTTAAGATTCGGTTGTTCCTAGAAGATTAGAAGAAAAAGATCATCAAAACATCTACTTACTGCAATCTTCAAATATAAATTTATCTGTGGCAGCAGTTTTTTGATATAAAGTAGCTATAAAGAGGGTTAAAAAATATATATAAATGGCCATTGTTTTAATGATTTTGCTGGGGAAATATTTGAAAAATCACAATTTGGAAGGTATTGTCGTTAATATTTTTACGATTTATCGAAATGCTAGTCTTTATCTTTGTTCCTGAGATAACAACACCTGTTAAATTCATCCAAAAGATTTAGCTAGATTTATTTCAATCGCAATTGATTATTTTATAGTTTTTAGATAATTAATAAAATCGTGGGAAATTTTCCTTATCCACAAGATGGAAAACTGATGTACCGTAATTGATGTTCTTAAATGCTTAGGTATAGAACTTCAGCATTTAAGAACATCAATCATTTTAATTATAAGAAGTGAGAATAAATCAGCTTTTAAATACAACACTACTTCAAATTAGCTGGAGAACAGGTTGTGATCCCAAAAAATATTTTGGTACATTGTATTTCACTTTTAAAAAAAATTTCAATTAGAAAACAATAAAAAATATGGTATTTCATTTTTAAAAAAAGTTTCAATTGGGTACTTGTACTTCAAGAAGAAGAAGGAGATCACGGATACCCACGCATGTTCATAAGCAAAATGTTGTGTTACCGTTGAGCTTAGTTTATCCACATAACTTAGAATATTAATTAACGCGAAGTTAATTAAATACAACTCCTTATCACACATCGAATTTATTAAAATATAATTCTTTCTCGTCTACGTCTTTTTCATAACTTAGTTTTATTATTTGTTTATGTATTTTATTGTAACCACGATATATTTTTGTTTTATGTACCTGGCAACTGCGAGTCATAATTAGTTTGCTTATGTTCTATATGGCTTCGTGCCTGTCTTTGTATTAAATGAGAAACATATAAAGAGTTGAAATCTTCGTGAAAGAATATAAAATGTGTCTCTTAAGAGAACTGATACTTGAAGGGCTTATACTTCAAAGTATATATACACTCAAGAGCCAAAACATTATGACCACCTCTTAATAACGAGTTGTCCCCCCTTTAGCCCACAACACAGCTACAACCCGCCTTGTCATGGATGCCACAAGTCCTTGGTAGATGGCCGGAGTCAGATTGTACTAGATGTTTAAGCAACGGTCACGCAAATCCGAGATATTGGGACTTAGTGGTCACATCTGATGATGATTCGTTCGGTTTTTTTAAGCTGTAACTAAAAGAATCATTTAAAAAGCAATTTTATGATTTTGATTTCTAGGAATATAAATGAGAAATCCAATACCTTTAGATTTTGCCCTGTTCTGTATTCTGTCATTAACTTTTTAAAAAAATGCGTGAGTTTAGTGAAAGATATTAAACACAAAAAGTATCTGCCATCAGAAAAACCTCTTTAAAATATTCCGAACAAATGTTCATATTCTAAAGACGTTCGTATAAGCTCAGACACTTCAAGGTTCTAAAAATACTTCGTTCCCAGGTTATTAGATCTATTTAGATTTGAGCAAGTTAACACAAGTTTTGAAGAAAAGAGGCTTCATGGATTTTATGTTCGAATAGATAATTATTTAGTTAGAGAAACTAGCTTTAAATAATAACGAATTGCAAAGTCTACTTGTTTATTTAAAGATTATGTTTACATTTATAAACCTTTAAAGATTCACATGAAGATTTGTTCACAATCCATGAAGAGAATAGATCTACATCAGGCTACCATTTTTCCACTGAAAGAAATGCAGGCTATCTCTTTAGAGGCTTTTTTCGTCACTATTCTTATTTCCTTTGTAAAATGTCCCTGTAAGGAAAAAGAAAATTTGTTTAAAAAGCTGTTCTACTTGCTTCCTTCTTGTTTGAATCATCAACTCGTAATTTTAACGAATAAGTAGAAAGCGTATAAGAAATATGAGCTATTTAGAGTTATGCTTGTTATGACTCAATTCGGAATATAATTTGTCGAGACTATATTCTTTTAGATAAAATTCGATTTCGGATTTGATGCATTTTTGTTGATTTACTGATTCTAGTATAAGCCATAAATAGAATAAGTAAGAATAAGCCGTAAATACATAGTATAAATCATAAATAGAATAAATGAAAATAATATTAGAATAAGAATTATAAATAGAATAAGTACGAATATTATTAGAATAAGAATTATAAATAGAATAAGTAAGAATAATATTAGAATAAGAATTATAAATAGAAGAAATAAGAATAATATTAGAGTAGGAAGGAATAATATTAGAATAAGAAAGAATAATATTAGAATAAGAAAGAATGATATTAGAATAAGAATAATAAATAGAATAAGAATAAGCCTTAAATTCAAAAGGAATTTAAAGCAATACATATCATTTATCTGGAGAAAATGTGAAAACTCCGTGCAATTTCTTAAAACACAAGAAATTATTTCAAGAAATTGTATTAATTTTTCGAATCCATTCAAAAATGGGTACATCAGAACTGGATGACACAAAGTAGGATGAAAGAGAATGTATGTACAAGCGTATTATTGTTTATTTCGCCAGGGGGTTTTTTTTTTTTTTTTTTTTTTTTTTTTTTTTTTTTTTTTTTTTTTTTTGAATAAACATAATTTTTAATCCTTGCAATGTCAAGGTTAGCCACAATGTGGAAAATAGGATCTCAGAGAACCGATCTAAAGTAAGTAGATAGTTTCTCTGTTTGCTTATATTTCACCACTGTTTAAACGAATAAAAACAATTTTACACACAGTTGTTAAAACTTTATTATCCAAAAATAATTTTATGCATATCTTTTTAATGATTTAGTTTAGTTATAGTCCAAAATCCTTTGAATTGCAATGCATAAACATATATTTTTTTAAAATCTAATTTTCAACTACATGTGATTTCAAAGGGTTAAATTCAAAATTTCTGAGAAATTAACCTTTCACGAAATTATTTTTAGAAAATGAATTTCATAATTTTGTTTCAGCGTTTTCGGATTAGCATAAATTCTTTTAGAGATGCTACTAAATGTACAAAAAATGAAAGTAATATTAATTGTTTTAAACTTGCGATTGTTCTGCTGACTATACTACTGCGAATTACTCTCCAAATTTGGGCTACTCTCCATATTTTAAAGGTTAAGAATCCGAGTCTATGTCGAAGCAAAAATGGTTATGTTTATTCAGAGAAAATAGGATTTTGTGTCTGATTCCGTAACTTCCGACCACTAGAGCAGAAGATATTTAAGAGAACTGATTCTTCATTTTGTGCACTATACGTATTACTGTGGTCCTTATTCACACCCATATGTATAGTGGGCAAAAAAAAAATTATCAGTTATAACTGAATCTTTCTAGAATGAATTCGTTTAATTCTTTTGTGCAAAGTGTTAAAATCTAATTTTATTTATTTCTTTTTTTAAATAACATTGATTTAAAAATCAGAAAGCTTTTCACCATTTCTAACTCATCACATACTAAAACTATCCAAACCCTTCTGAAGATTTTCTATAGATTGACATCAGACCTAATTAAACAGCAAGAAATTCTTAAGTCGATGATATATTTCAAACTCCTTTATATTATTATCCCGTAATGGGTAGTCCACATTTCACAATCAAAATTATGTCTTGTCTTTTCCAGTAACAGATTCATTACAATCCACCACTAAAACACTTCCAGAATCAGTCTAAATCAATCTTACAACGTCATTATTGGGTCTCAAAACCATTATCAAGTAAATTTATTTCTGATTGCAAAACAATCCGATAGAAATAGTGAAAGTAATACTAAGAGTTGTCGAGTGCAAACCGCCTCCCTAGTTTTATTCATCATTTTAACTACCTTTATAGCATTATGCATAAAAAAATTAATATTTAATTACAGTGGAACCTCTCGGGAACGATCACTTTCCGTTCCTCAATAAAATGGCTGTTGATGGAAGCGGTCACTCTTAGAAGTTACCTCCATTGACTTCAAAATTGTTATCGAAGGTATATAATTTTTCGCTAACGATTTTAACTTAAGTCAAGTTTATTTTGTTGGTGCCACTTCTGTTGGCGTCATGAAAAGACGGATCTATGACTAAAATTCACAGGGCCTGTAAAAATGATCCCTACTGAAATATATGAGTAAAGTCAAATTTTCTTATTATGAATTATAAAGCTATTTTAAACAAATAAACAATTATGGTTCTTGCTTAAGTTTGCATTTAATTTTATGTCTTAAAAATTAGTTAGCTTTAAAAGATGAAAAGAGGTTTGTTTGAGTTACTTGTTTTTTCTTTAAATAACTTTTTTTTTCTAATTTAACTCTCATCTCTAAAAGTAAATCCTTGATAGCATCGTCCTTAGTGAACTCTGACAGCAAAATAAGGTGGCATCGTCAAAAAGAGCTCCCTAAACAAGAGCCTCGCGCAAATATTTTGAATACATTTTAATCTACTTATTTGTTTAGTTAAATATTTTCTTTTAATATTTTTTTCGTGTTTCCTTATTTGACCTTTTTCTGCATTTGGTCCCAGGTGTTTGTCCGGTCATTGAGAAAGGCTCTAATGGTCTCTCCTAAAGGTTTTCTTCAACACGAAGTCTGTGGGAAAAAAATGCCGTGCCTCCCAGAAGTGGTCGTCAATAGAAGTGGTCGCTACATAGAGGTGATCTTTTCTGGAGATTTCATTGTATTAGCTATCTGCTCTCAATTTCTTTCCATATGAAGTAAAAACTGATAAGCAGAATTAATTTATACTTACTGACGCTAGATACTTCCCGATTGGACCAATGTCTGGTGCTGTCATGACAACATTTGAAACGCTGTATGAAGTAAAAACTGATAAGCAGAATTAATTTATACTTACTGACTCTAGATACTTTCCGAGTGGGCCAATGTCTGGTGCTGCCATGACAACATTTGAAACGCTGTATGAAGTAAAAACTGATAAGCAGAATTAATTTATACTTACTGACGCTAGATACTTCCCGAGTGGACCAATGTCTGGTGCTGCCATGACAACATTTGAAGAGCTATATGAAGTAAAAACTGATAAGCAGAATCAATTTATACTTACTGACGCTAGATACTTTCCGAGTGGACCAATGTCTGGTGCTTGCATGACAACCTTTGAAACGCTGTATGAATTTGCTCTCACTGGGCACTCACACTCCTCACCCGTTGGAAAGAACGGGCAAGTTTGTTCCCTTGTTGCATTTAAATACGAACAAAGCTCAACTGTGCTGAAAAGAAAGAAAAAAATTGAAGGTAATCAATCTATCTGATAAAAGATGTTACGGATAATTTTTTGCATGGATTTATCTTCAGACAAACGAGTTTTATAATCGGGTACTTGTAACTCGAGAAGTAGTGAAGTGATTATGCCTAACCATGTGATTTAAATCAGATTTATATTGGGTACCCAATAAGCTGCGTCATGAGTGCCGTGTGCGTCGAACCTGATTAGCATCTAAATTGACAAATGCCTCGATTTACCAACGATGACGTCATTTGTAGGTATCCAATTGTGTAAAAATAGTTTTCGATTCGCTTATAATGTTCCCAAGATGTAGAGAAATAAATCAAATTAACATAAAGAGGATCTAACTTTCGACCACTGCCCTAACTAAACTATTGGGTCTATATTTTTTTGTTAATTTTTTTTAGGGTTAAGGCTCTAAATCTGACGAAGGAAAAAGCTATGTTTCTTCAGAGAATGTGTATTTTATGTCTTATTTCGTAGCTTAGATTTTTAAACTGTAAAGATTAGTAATTTAGTATGCGGAACTCCGTTCATTAGAAAAGTTAATAAGAGTAATATCTTCTTTTATTCATTTGTTTATTTTTGGCTAACTCAGTATGTAACCGAGCTCTTATTAAACGGATATATTTGAATAAAAGTTTAGTATATACGCCAATACTCTCATCCAGCTGTTTAGATCAAGAAACATTGACTTATAATCGATTCAATTATTTTTATATTTTTTAAAAAATATGACATTACTTTATAAAAAAAATAGCAATTTGAAAACTATTATAATTCTTAACGATTTGTTTTACGATAACTTGCCAATGATAATTTGCTTGAAAAAAGGTGAAATGAAGATTTTCCCTAATTTAGAAAATTAAAAACATAAGGGTAGCATCTTTGGTTTAGGAAATTTGATAACATTTATTGACATTAACAGACGGTAAGCATCTTAATATGAAAATGTTATTAAGGCTTACTGAAACTTAACAGAGGGAGAGAAAAATTAAAACGATTTTTTTTCATCAAGGATTTTCAGTTAAAGAACATTTTATTTTTCTATTTTTATTTAAATAGCAGAAAATAAAAAACGATGCAAAGCTTTTGAAAAAAAAACAAAAAAAAACATCGAAATAAATACAGTATGTTTATTAGAACACTGTTCCCCGAATAAATCAATTCGTTTTATTTAATTTCCGAAACTAAAATTCTAACCTTATGTTTTATTTCTTGCTGTTTCGGATGAAATCCTTTTTCTGTCACTGCTGGGTACATTTTATACGGGAATCGTCTGCCGATCGATTTGGTTGAAATTTTGATATGTAATAATTGTAACCGTTCTGCCATTTGGACTCAACGCTAAAAAATGAACAGATTTTGAGATACGGAGTGTTTAACTTCCATATCATGATGGTTTTAAGAACCATTTTTAATTAGTCTTTCGAAACGCTTACGTCAATTTTCAAAACTCCTGATCTCGTAATCTTTTAATTTTTTAACATCCGGCCCACGAGTTCATCGGGCTCATAACTTTTAATCCGGATTTTAATTACAACATATCAGAATTTCAGCCAAATTGACTAGGATCTACAATGTGTCTCGGGTAAAACAAACTATGTAACTATATCATTTGATACTCACCATGATCCATAGCCAAATACACAAGGTACAGGAATGCTTATTGGGAGTCCAAGCAAGTATTTTACCTTGTAAAACTTAGTTTTGAGCAAAGCGCCTTCCGGAATATCTTTGTGGAGGATTAAGTTACCGGACACTGTAACGTTGCGACTCAATGATATGGGTTCGGGTTTAACGGAAAATTTGCCTACAGTAATAATACTTTTATAGCCTTTGCCTGAAATGAGTAAGAAAAAACTTATTACCATCTTTTCTTTCTACAGAGAAACCCTTACAAAGTATATAATTTTGATCTTTATTTTAGTATCGCCCCAAAATGCGATTTACTTTGCTTAACTGTGTAGTTAGTTTACGGATCGTTGTTTTTATAAATTTTTTTTTTCTTCCGTCATTTTATCTATCTCTCATCCGCCATTTTTTTTTCTACCAGGTAGTCTGACATTCGGGAAGTGTTATTGTTGTTTCTAATGGCACTTAGACAAGCTGAGCTCGCCAGGCTATTGACCTTGTGAATTAAGTCATTAAGAAGCCCCTTTCGTTTGACAAGAGAGCACTGCTAGGGTGAAAGTGCAACTTTGCTCAGAATTCTCCAGATAGATGGCAGTATCACTCATACGAGAAGCCACTTGTGACATTTAGGCAAAGAAAGGGGAAGGAAATTTTCTCTAAATCCCGCTACCCGTGATACTGCTCTAGCGACCGATCACAGGACTTTTGATTCCACAAAATTTACCAGCTCGTATATCGCATGTTCTTGGTGGGTTTTAGTAGTGTCGAGGATCGAACCCCGACCTCTCCGAACTGAAGGCTGATGCTCTAACTCGTGAAGTATAATCATTGATAAAATAAAAAAGTCTAAGTCATTGATAAAAAGAAATAAATTTGTATTTTTACATTTAATTTAAATTAAAATTATTATTTTATTTAAATTGAAATTATTATTTTGTTTAAATTAAAATTATTTTTTTATTTAAAATAAATTATATTTCAGAAGATGGATTATTTTAATTAAAACTTTAGTGGTGCCACTAATCTATCCGTAAATTAGTTACACAGTTAAGTAAGGTATATGACATCTTCGGACAATAGATGGTTAACCGTGTAATAAGCTAAGCACAGATGGCGCTAGGGTTTAAAATTCGTTGTAAAACTTCTGTAACACTATTTCCTATTTATTTTCATGCCAAAGCTTGGTAAAACGAGCCGTTCAATATTATTACACTTGTAGTGTTTGCAATATTACGCGTTCTTCCAATTTAACTTTCAACAAAACAAATAGCAAATGAATTCGGAAGACCCTCAAGCATAATATGATGCTACCGCAAAATAACTACCAGCGGTATTTCACTTAATCATTGGTGATCGAAATGGGCTGCAGGTGGCGCAGAGCAGAACTCTCTACCTATGGCAACATTTCGCATGCTTTCCCCCATTAGCGTGTGGAGAGTCATAGAGGAAGGAAGTACTTTAGTTTCTCTCTTGATTTTCATATAGAGTAAAATCTTTTAAGTAGGAATACTATATGGAACTGAAAACTACATTAAACATAGTTCTAAAGAAAAGCATCACGGAAATTTTAAAAAATAATAGGAGGCTCCGCCCCCTGCTCGCTAACGCTCGCCAACCCCCGAGAATTGCTACGCAATCCTATGTGGTTCATGCCGTGAATCATGGCTCGCTGCGCTCGCTCGCCAATGAACACAATGTTCTAGCACAAAGACATAATATATTATCATCAAAGACATAGTATTTTATCATCAAAGACATAGTATTGTACTTATGTAGAAGAATTCTACCAATGTTCTTATCGGCTTTTAAAAAAGTATATTAGCTATTTAGATTGTACATGGTGAAAAAATCAAAACATTAGCTAAATAAGAAACATATTAGCAAAATAAATTATCAAATATTGCTTCACTAATATTCTGCATTTTAAAGCGTGAAAATTCAATGCATAAATAAACGCGAAATATAAAAAAATTCAATGCATTCAATACAAACACTTAAACGTTTTTTAGACGTTTAGGTAGCTCCCAGTAGAAAAATATCAATTCAACAGCGGCCTTTTAAAGCATTCTCACTTCAATTAATTAATTAATTCCTAATTGAGTTTAAATTAAATATTGTCATGTTTTTAGTGCATGAATCTGAATTGAACAACCTGATAATGCTCACTCTGGTTATTGTTATCTGGTTGCTCACTACGTGCTCTTGCGCGCCGAATCCAATCAATTAAAAATGAAAACTGTTGCCAGTGCGAGAAAAGAAATATCATCGGTTTTATTGATACATACATACATACGTACGTATTAGCGTTTTATATAATATAGATTGTTATTAAATAAAAAGGAAAAATATTAAGAAAAGGGAAAATATCGTAGTACATTCCTATACAACTGAAAAGAGGAGGAGAGGGAAGGGCCAAGGGCAGGAAACCGGTCTCTCCCCAGATGGCGTATTCCAGTGTTGCGATAGCCAATAGCCAGATCAGGGATTACACTCAAAGCATGGCAAACCTAAGCTAACTTATTTATGTTGCGATATTAATTTTCTTAAATTTTTTTTAAGCTAACGACCTGTTGGAATTTGTGAAATATAGAAAATTCTTATGAATGGTAAAATTTCGCGCGAATTCGAACATAAATCTCATTAAAAATAATTTCTAGAATATTAAGCCCGCTCGCCCATCTCTTAATCGTAAGTATAACATGGATGGTGTTTTCTACACTAGGGAACGCTGCAAGCTCCATACCGCCTATACTTCCAGGTTACTGTTTCCAGTGTATTTTAAAGCCATTTAGCTCACAACGGGATCATTGTGCTTTGAGATTCTTGCAAACGTACGTGGTATCTGATTACTTATTACTTGTGTTTACAATGCTAAAGGTGCTAACACTAACGTAAGATGAGGCACAGCTTGCAATAAGAACAAACAGTAATAAAATGGAAAAAGGCTAAATCAGGAGTGACACAAAAAGCGAGTTATTCAAAATCTAGCAACCATGTCACCTTTTTTAACAATAGTATATCTATAAATAACTAAAATAAATTTTCCCTTCAAACTCACCAGAATTACTTTATAACATTAATATCTTATGAAATACGCCAGATTTGAGCTTAGAAATTATCTAATTTACTTCTTTTATTGAAAACGAAATTATCCGTTTGAAAATATCGCCTCGCGAAGTAAGCAGTTGCAAACTTTCTAACCGGAGAGCAGGTATTGAGCTCGAGATTGTTATTGTCTACATTTATATTGAAAACACCATCCATAAACGAAGGGATACACCAGAAGTTTTTTTTCATTTCCTCCGCTTTAGGAAGCTTGTTATTGTCTACATTCAGTCAATTATCCATACACTTTATTTTTTAATATAGTTAAGCTTTTTTTTAAAACTTTATTTGACTACTTCTTATGATATAAAAATAATAAAACATGCAATCTTTACTTTAAACATCCTGTCGCATTTCATAAGATCTTTAGATTGCCACACTTTCAAAAAAAATCCCTTTCTTGTTATAGGCTTAGAAATATTAATTAGACTCGGGGAAGAAGATATAGACTTTAGATATAGTGGTACTAAAATTTCCATGAATAGCACGTGGTTAATGAAACCATACATATCTTTTGATTATTCTTGATAAAACCAGTGAAAGAAGGGGGGGGGAACAAAACTAGAAAATTAAAGAAATCAGTTAACTTACGAATCGGAGGCGAAGCGATGGCTCAGTGGTTAAGGGACTGAACCGACAATGTGAAGAGCTGGGGTTCAATCCCCAGTGGCGTCTTGAAGCCCACCCAGATTGATGGGTACCGCCTTATCTGGGAAGTAAAGGTGGCGCTGTGCGCCATTCTGTCAACATTGCCACAATCATGCAGTTCCATGATCTCCCCTACTGGCCCACAACGGGCTGTTGCGGGAGCGCTTTCCTTTTATTTCATGAATCGCGTTGAAATCAAAGTATTTGAAAAGTGGGGATTTGATCAACAGGTTAATCTGGGTATCGATTTAGTAGTGAACCGCCAAATTAAATTGGCAAATTAGTTTTTCAATATGAATGAAATCAAAAAGTTTAAATTTTGGTTAACCTAGTCGAAGAGTACGATATTTATTAATTTGATTTGTTTTGCGTATGACAAAAGAGTATAGTTGAATTATGAAACTATCTACAAATAGTTAAAAAGAAAAAATGCTGGAGTAATTAGCCAGAAATAACCTCAGAGGAGAAATTTAGGTAGAGATAGCTAGTTCAGGTTCTGAAAACTTGTTTAAAGGTGAACTGTTAGGAGGGTTACCTTTTCGGTGAAAAATCTCTAGCTGACTGCTAAGATTTTCTCTCTCTTTTAGTATTTCGAATGTTTTCCCAATTTTATTATCGATTGTAAAAGAAAAATTTTTGAATCAAAATGCATAATAATATGAGCAGTTCTTTAATTTTTCATTTTTAATTACGTAATCATGAAAAAAAAACTGGGATCATGCTAATACTAGTTAAATATGATTTTGCCTAAAGATATGAAAATAATAATTGTATGAGTATTAAAATAATTAAAAACTGTATAAATATTTCATTTTCAAAAAGTAGGAAAATTATAGATAGTAATACTAAATTGCCATACCTCCGACTAACTAAGGCTGCAAAATTGTAAATTTAAACACCGTCATGTAAAAATAGTTAAGTCAGTTAATATTTTTCCGAAATAATAAATATCAAATTTTCTAAATAAATATTTGTATCCAAATTATTTTCCTTATATAATAGAATGATTTTCTAAATAATAAAGGAAAACTAATTTTCTGCTTTTAAATTTTATGTGTTGATGAAATTTATTAAAAAATAATTCAACTTTATAATCCAAAAAACTGTACGTTATAATATAACGTACAGTTTTTTTATATTACAGAAGTCCAAATTAAAGTTTGCAATTAATTTTTTAAAAAAAAAAACACTTTATTTCAGAGTTTTAAAATAAATTAATAAATAAATTTCAAAGTGATTTGTTTATTTATAATTATACGGTCAAGTAAATTTAGTTTTAACTGGTTGAAAAATTTTCTTAATTGATAAATGTACAGTAATAAATATAAAATTTCAATAAAAATAAATATAATAAGTAAAAATAATAAGGAAAATAATAAGTAAACATTTATATCCAAAAAAATTTTTCCCAAATAATAAAATAATTTTCTAAATTATAAAAAATATATTTCTGCTTATAAATTTTGTGTATCGACGAAATTTATTAAAAGATAATTTTTTTTATCCAAAAAACTATACATTACGTATAAATACAAATTAAAGTTTCCAATTAAATTTGCTTCGAAATTATTAAAAAAAAACATTTCATTTTACATCATCAAAAAAAATTCATAAATAAATTATAGGGCGATTTGTTTCTTTATAATGATAAATATAAATTGCAAAGCGAATATGAAACGTGATTTGTATAATATATTATCGAACAAAATATTGGAAAATTACAAAATATTGGCGTGAAAATAATGTGCCAAACCCAATGCACGTGCTTGGTCAGAAAAACAATAAAGAATTCCAAAATTTTGTACCCATATGAGATTTAATTGTAGTGAAAATGCTTACAAATGTTTATTGCATTATAATCTAAAAATTTAAGTAAAAGTACAAAAAAAAAATTTACAGGTTAAATACTTAATAAATTCATTTCATACAATTTTATTGCAATTTATATGATAACATGCAAATTGCAATAAAATGCCTAAAAATTAATATAAAGGAACAAAATAATCATGCTTGTGAAGCGTAATAAGTTCTCGTTTTAAGAACTTTACTGCAACTTTAAAAGCACAGCAGTATACGACCATTTTTTATGAAATTTTATTCCGAACACAGCTCAGTTATCCACCTCTATAATAAAAGACTGGATAAAGGATTTACTACAGGAAAAATCGTCCTGAAAACGTTCAAGACATGACAATCGACGTACAATGTTCTTTGTTCAATGTTCTTTACTATGCCAATTAACATAGTGCTCACTTTGTTAATTATATTATACTCTTCTATGGAAATAACACTATACATACTAAAAAAGTTTCCCTTGAATAGTTTATAAAACCATACAAATGCAAAAGATAATTTTTGATATTTATTTTTAGCCATGTAATATTCTAAATAGTTTTTTTTTTTTTTTTAATATAAAGGTAGAATAATTTTCACAAATAGCGTCATAATATGTAAGTTTAACTTGCAATTTTCAGAATAAAAAATGTATTTACTGACTAGTTCCCAAGAAAAACACTTTAAGTAGGTTTTAGTATTTTGAATAAGAATTAAAAAATTTAGGTTTAGAATTTTTTAACTGTTTTCTCTCCGACCTTTTTTTTCTTGATTTAGTTATTTATTTATATATTTTTCAATTTTGGATTTATATATTTAAAATTGCGTTGTTTAGCATGCTGCAAGGAAATTTTTAGTGTAACAGTGACCTGACCTAATAGATTAAAATTGACCTTCGAAAATTAATTTTTAAGTAAAAGGAATTGTTTTAGAAAAAATTTGATCAAGTATTCATCATATCGATTCATAATACGTAACTTTATATTACAAATTTCAGAATTAAAAATAAATTTCTTGAATAGTTCTCGAGAAATAGCACTTTAAGTAAAGTATTTTGAAATAAATTAGATTTTTTAAATTTTTTACACTCAGGTCTTCTTTCTTGATTTTTTTTTTCAATTTTGAATTTAGATACTTAAAATTGCGTTGTTTAGATTGCTCAAATTTAATTTTTAATGTAATTTTGGAATGACCTTCTTTATTAACATTGACCTTCGTAATCACGTATTCCACATATCAATTCATATAACCTTAAAATACGTAACTTTATATTACAAATTTCAGAAATAAAAATACATTTATTAAACAGTTCAATAGAAATAGCACTTTAAGTGAGATTAGCATTTTGAATAAAATTGGAATTTTTAAATTATTTTCGCTCAGGCCCTTTTTTTCTAGATTTATTTGTTTATTTATTTATTTTCAATTTGCCTTGTTTAACATGTCTTAGTTAACATCAAAATTGCCTTGTTTAACATGCTGGAAGGAAGTTTTACTATGATTTAGACATGACCTTCTTGATAAACATTGACCTTCGTAAATAAATTTTTAAAATGAGGGATGTGTTTCAAAAAAATTACATCAAGTGTTCCATATATCAATTCATATAGCGTAATAATACGTAACTTTATATTACAGATATACAGAATTAAAAATAAATTCATTACGGAGTTCCCGAGAAAAAGTACTCTAAGTTTAGTATTTTGAATAAAATTAGAAGCTTTCAATTTTTTTTGCTCAGGCTTTTTTCTTGACAAATTTTTTTTTTTTCAATTTTGGTTTTACGTATTTAAAATCACGCTGTTTAGCATTCTTAAATTAAATTTTTAGTGTTATGGTGACCCCTCTTGATTAACATTGACCTGTGTAAAATAATTTTTAAAATAAGGAATATGCTTTAAAAATTTATATCAAGTATTCCAAGCATCAATTCACATAACGTAATAGTAATACGTAAAAATTTATGTTACAAATTTCGGAATTAAAAGTAAATTTATTGAATAGTTTCCGAGAAATAGCACTTTAAGTTTAGTATTTTGGATGAAATTAGAATTTTTAAAATGTTTTCACTCAGGCCTTTTTCTTTTTTTTTTTTTTTTTTTTTTTCTTTTCAATTTTGTTTTTAAATACTTAAAATTGCGTTGTTTAGCATGCACAAATTAAATTTTTAATGTAATTTTGACATGACCATCATGACTACATTATTGACCTTCTTAAGCTAATTTTTAAAATGATGCGCTTTAAAATTTTTCATCAAGTGTTCCATACAGGTTGTCCTGAAATGAAAGCTTTTAATTTGTATTTTTTGAATCCTTACCAAAGAGAAGGTCAAGCAACGCATATACATTTTTAAGGTTCAGTGTGCCACCCTTCTGGCACTGAGGAAAATTTAGTGAATTACATTACGTCTTCTGAATCATATCTCTTTACAATTTATTTTTTATATTAATTAAAGATAATTAATGTAATTAATAAATTGATTAAAATTAAATGATTTTAAATTGATTAAATTAATTAAAAAGAAATAATTTAAATTACTTAAAATAATTAATTTAATTAATTAAAATTTAATAATTTTAAATTAAAATAATTATCTAAGTCAATTAAAATTAAATAAGTTTAAATTAATTAAAATTAAATACTTTTAAATTAATTAAAATAATTAATTAATTTCAAACTAATTAAAATTAATTACATCTTTACCACATTTTTTTAAGAATTATAAATATTTTCTGTTAAAAATAAATCATAAGAAATCAACGTTATATAAGGAAAACCTTGTTATCTTTTATAATTAATACGCAGTGAAAGTATGGAATTGACTGAACTTCGACATCTGCTTGTGCAAACGAAATTTGTATTGTCGAATCTGAATCTGCTTGAGTTTGCAATGTTTTGCGACATTTCAAATTCTTTACTTCCAAAATGGAGAAATCTAGAATTTCTTGATTATTTCTCCCTTTCTCTTTGCCATTTTGGAAGTCGATAAGATTTCATAATTATTTAAAAACTGTACAACCATAATTTGTTTTATAAAAATATATCATAATTATGATAAAATTAATTATAGAGGGATTATATATAAATATACAAATCGATACACAGTAGATAGACAAAAAGTAAAACCAAAAACTTTTTTGAATTGTAAAGATGAAACAATGAATGAAATTTTAAAAAACGAATTAAGCGTTCATTATACAATTAAATATAATTTTATTCTCTAGCATGTTAATATTTAAATAAAAGAAAATCTAAGATTTCTGTTAATTTGATTTGACTTCGAGGCTAAGAAATAATTACTTAAAAATTATGTAAGATCCTCAAAACTTTGTACTTACTGCAATCTTCAAATTTAAATTTATCAGTTGCTGCAGCATATTGGTATAAAGCAGTTATAAAAAATGCTAAGAAATAAATCAGCTTGACCATGGTGTTTTAATGATTTTGCTAAGGAAATATTCAAAAAAATTACAGTTTTAAAGATATTAGCATTAATATTTTTTTTAAAAACATTTATTTACAGCTATCTTTTTTTTCTTGAGATAGTAGATAATACAACACCTGTTTAATTCATAAAAAGCGTTTAGCTACATTTATGTCATTCACAATCGATTGTTTTCCAGTTTTTCAGATTATTAAATAAGACCGTGGGAAATTTTTCCGATCTACAAGGTGTAAAGTTGTTCTATTGAGCATTAAGGTCAAAGTTTAAGCAAGTTCTAGAATAATGTTTCCGTAAGATGAATACAATTTTTCTTAACTTACAAATAGCTGAAGAACAATTTGAGGCTCGTGAAATATTTTGATTTATCATATTTATTAAAAAACCAAAGTTTATAAAGTTAAACGTGAAAAAAGTTATTTGATAAATGCCTCACTTATGGAATTGTTAGCTCAAGAAATTTATATTTTTCTTTTTCTTTGAAATTCGAAACTAATCTGGTTTTTCTCTGATTTCTGATTAAAACATTTTTTTCGCCATTTGAAATGAGAATAATAACTTACTAATTTATTCATAAGTAAGCAAGGATAAATAAGCTTTCAAATTTTATATAACTCACAAATATAACTGAAGAAAAACTTATGACTCTAAAAATATTTTGATAAATCATATTTATTAACGAACCAAAGTGTAAATTTAAAAATAAAAAATATTATTCGAAAAATGCATTAATTATGAAATTTTTAGAGCAAGAAATTTATGTTCATGCTTTTCTCCCTTTGAAATAAGCAACTAATTTAATGCTTTTAACCGATTTCTGATTTAAACATAACTGATTTTCCGCATTTGGAAAAAAGAACAAAAAGTTGTGAATTTGTTAAAGTATGCAAGGATAAACAAGCTTTCAAATTTTTCGTAACTTAAAAATAGCTGAAGAGCAGTTTGCGACGCTATTAATATTTTGGTATTACATATTCTAATAAAGAATCAAAGCGTAAAATTAAAAATTAAACAATAATTCCGAAAAAGCATCAATAATAGAAATGTCAGCGCAAGAAATTGATGTTTCTCTTTGTATCCCTTTGAATTCAAAAAAAATTAAAACGATTTTAACTGATTTCTGATTAAAACGTAACTGTTGTTTTCTTTTTCGTACTTTGAAATAAAAATATATAACTTCTAATTTATTTAAAATTTGTGACAATGTGGGATATGGGTAGGTGATGAAATTGGTTGACCCATCAAATACGGCGTACACAAAAGCAACAATAATAGCATAAACAAAAGGAATAGCATATGAGAATATTTACCCAACTTTTAAAAACCATTCAAATCAAATAGCTAAACATAAGCTGCGATGGCTCATGGGGTAGAGAGTTCGCCTTCCAATGAGGCGAACCGGGTTCGAATCCCAGTCGATAGGAATTCTGCATCCGGCTTGCACTGACCACAGTGCTGACGTGAAATATCCTCAGTGGTAGACGAATCATGGGTTAGAGTCCCCTTGCCGTCAGGCTAACTGTGTGAGGTTCTCGTGGTATTCCTCTCCATGTAACGCAAATGAGAGTTTGCTCCATCAAAAAGCCCTCCACGTAGGCAAATTTCTCCCAATACTCGATCTAGGAGTTCTTCTGGATTGGGTTCAAAATTACAAGGCTAGGAAATTGAGCATTAGAAGTCGCAAACCCATAAAATTGGGTCGGCTGTTCAACGACGGTTATAAAATAAAATAAAATAAAATAAAATAGCTAAACAAATAACAGAAATCTTGTTGGATGGTGTTCATAAAGCCAAAACGTCGTTCAACTTCTCGATACCGAACTCTTCTAACGGCTCTTTTCTATGGGATAAAGCCCTGGATATAATCCAATTCTATGGGATAAAGCCCTGGATGTAATCCAGGGCTTTATCCCATGGAAGAGACATCAGACAGTTCGTACAGTATACGCTGTTACAGTATGCAAGATTAAATAAGCTTTCAAATTTTGCGTAACTTACAATTAACTGAAGAAAAATTTGCGACCCTAATAATATTTTATTAAGGAACAAAAGTTTAAAATTTGAAATAAGAAAATTATTCTGAAATTACATCAATTATAAAATTGTTAACACAAGAAATTGATGTTTTCTTTTCCTCGCTTTAAAATAAGAAACTCATCTGATGTTTTTAACTGATTACTGATTAAAACATAATTTAGTTTTCTTAAGCACCTTGAAATAAGATAATTACTTGATAAATTATTCACAAATTCATCAATTAGCTTTCTACGTTTACTTAACTTAACGATATCTGAATAACAATTTGAGACCTTAAAAATATTTTCGTTTATCTTATTTCACAAAACAACATAAGTTTAAAATTAAATAATAAAAAATGATTCCGAAAATGCATCAATAATAGAATTGTTATCTCAAGAAATTAATTTTTTTTTTTCACTTTGAGATACGAAATCTAAACTTTTTGTAAGAAACCTATCTGATTTCTTATTTAACTGATTTCTAACTGAAACATAACTTTATTTTTCCCACATTAAAATGATTTTCTGGTACACCGCTTTTAATATTTGTATCAAAAAGTCTTTTAAAAAATGAAGTCAAAAATATATATACATTTAAAGTCGCTTATTAATATCTCAGCCGAGGAAAAAAATGCGTTTTCGATACCAGACGAACTTTTTTTAACTATGAAGGATAAATTGGAAAAAAAACTTGTTTGTTTGATAATGTGTGATAAATTTCGATAATGTTTTTGTCCCAGCTAAAATACTAATTTATGTTCCCTAATATATGCCATTTTTAAAACTAATACACTGAGGACAACGATTACTGAATAGTAAATACTCTCTCTATATATAAGAATGAAAATGTACTCCTTGTACTTATCAATTCATTAGAAAACAGAATTTCCTTCCATTGCCATTGTCATACAAAATTTTATAATCAAAAACTGCTTGCTTACTTTAAATAGAATGATTTGTTTCCGTTATTATTAAAATTAACTACATACACTCATACAAAATTTATACTGCATGTTTCATACAATGTTAAATTTTGCCGAATTCAGCATTTTTACATATTTTTTAAGCAATATTAAAAAAATATTGTGTCAGCTTGTAATTTTTTTAGGGGGGACCGTTTAAATTCTTTTATTTTTAGTTTCATATCAAATATCAAACAGTTGAATTCAGTGTTACCAGATTGGGCTACAAGTAGCGGATTGGACTACTTTTAAAAGTCCCCGCTACTGAAAATTGAATTTTCGCTACTTGCTACTTTTTGGGCTACTTATTATTTTTCGAACGCTACAAATCTTAAATATGCGCTACTTTTTTTCCTTACTGAAATATATATATATTTTTTAATTTTTTCCCTTCCCATTATAAAATGATTCTGAAAGTTTGCAGCTTCTTTACCATTTTTAAAAAGGACATTTTTGTTGTTGTTGTTGAAAACGTTCTCGCTTCAGTTTTGGATTCTTGATATGTTTTACTGATGGAGTCTATAATCTTTCCATGTTTATGTTTCAAATCGTAGACTCGGGAAATCGCAAAGATATATATGGAAAAATGCACGGAGAGTATGATGGGGAAAATGTTTTTTAACTCCAACTATTATTAATCGTTTATCTTCTGGAGAAAAAAAATCACGTTACTCGCTTTGAAACTCAGAAAAATTAAATCCAAAGTCATTTTACCTGATGAATGAAAATAGTTGTTGTGAATGACAATGAGTTTCCAAAAAATATCGTACTGTTAAATGCTTTTTAGTGAATTCATTTCACTTTTGTAAATCACGATCTATTCACAGTTGCACGAAAAATAGGAAAATTTTTATATCTCTCTAGAGCAGGGATGGGCAAACTACGGCCCGCGGGCCAACTGTGGCCCGCCGGAAGGTTTTATCCGGCCCGCGGATATAATTTTAATTTGCCGATCAGTGGCAATATACATAAACAATATACATCCATTTTCTTGTCAACTATTTAAAATTATTTCTGTTTTTCCTTTTTTAACAAAGTACTGATGACCTTTTTACTTTCTCTATTTTTGTTCTACAAAACATAAATTGATGGAAATAGTTAGCACAGACAGCTTCAATTGGTAAAATGTTGAAAGCAGAAGTTCTTCATAGAATAGTCTTAGATTGGCTCTAACTAGCGTTTGTCTTTCTCGAGGAATCTAATATAGGTAAATTGTACTTCACATTTGGCAGACTACGCATTTTAAGATCCAACGAGCGGACAATCTAACAATCATCTGAAGCAGTTGTTTCTAAATATGCCAAAGTTTTACAAATCATTACCAAAAGCTAGTTTCCAAAATTTAATATTTCATGCCCAGAAAATCAGCTCTATGTTTGCTTAATCTTATATATGTGAACAAGAGTTTTCAACTTTGAACCTTAGAAAGAATCATTTCAGAAGTGGACTAACAGAAAAGCATTTAGCCTTGTTCCGTAAAATAGGCACATCTCGCTTCGAACCTTAATATAAGGAACTTTTAAAAACGAAATCGCAATTTCATTCATCTCACTAAATATTTAAATTAAAACTTGTATATCGCTTTTTTTTTTAAATTTTGAAAGTTTTATTTGTCCCACCAAACATTTTTTTTCTCGATTTTTGGCCCTCGACCAAAAAAGTTTGCCCATCCCTGCTCTAGAGCTTAGATTTGCCCGTTGTAAATGATGAAATTATTTTTTTTTAAAGGAAGGTATAATATGTATTGCTATGGTTACAGTTATTATTTTTCACCTCATTTTGCCAAATATGCAATAAATAAATGAAACAAATAAAAATTAAGTTTTGGATAGTTATCATATTAAAATAAAATTCGTATTACCAAACGCAAATGATAATCAGAATTGGCATCAAGGAGAACGACATGAAGAAATATTTCATAGAAGGCCAAGGCCCACCCAATGATGACGATGAAACGCAAAAGATGGATTTTGTTTTTAAAACAAAAATATATACTATGAAATTTCAAATAATAATTAACTATAACAATGAAATTATGAATAAAAATGACTAAGTTAATTGAAACATAATGCACTTAGGGATCAGGAAAACTGAATAACGACAATTTTTTTAATTCGAAAATGTCAACATTTTAAACCTTTCGAAACATTTATAGTAATTGCAAAATAACTAGGAAAGATAATTACTTTAAATGATAAACACGGTAATGTATATGCTGCGTGTTATAAAAGGAGTTTAGAAAATTATTAAAGCTACTACAGTGAAACTATCGTAAACTGATCAGAAGTGGAACTACAATTTGATGGTTTTATAAGAGAAGTCATCTTATAAAAATGATAATAAATTGTTTTTACCAGTTTTGCACTTGATCATCAAAATCTTAGATAGGTGATTAACTTATAGAGATGGTCAACTTAACAGGTTTCACTGTGCAAGTAAAGTAAGCACAGCAACTAAGGCGAGCTGCGAGAAAAGAAAATATTTACGAGCATTTAGTGCAAATCTATCTTTTTATCATTGTTTTTTTTTTAACTTTACAACAGATGTTACGGCTACTATAAATGAAAAAAAAATTAGTTAAAAATATTTGTTGCTTCGTAGACGCTTTAAAATACTGTTTCATACGTGGTCCAAATCAAAATATTCATTTGTTCACTAAATTACTATCAAAACTATTCTCAATCGAGTTTGAAACAATTATTGATGCTGTTACAAAGAAAAGCAAAGTCATATTTCTCATCTGCGAGCTGAATGTTTGTACTTTGTATTGTTTCGAACTTCAGAGCAGAAATGATTAAATAAATTATTTTGCTTATCAAAAAAAGATTTTTTGCCTTTTATTTTTAAATACACACAGATGTAGGCCCATGAAGTTGAACTTTTCTGAATTTCTTGTTGGAGATTGGGTCCTAGTTAGGTCTTATTTTTAATTTCCTCGAAACGCGAGATAATTTTTATTAAAAAAAAATTAGCTAGTGAGAACATTTTTATGTGCGAGTAATTAAGGTTCTTGAGGTTGGGGAACGAAGCGAGCTGAGGTCGAAACCTCTTAGTATTCTTATGCAGCTCAAAGACCGCACCAACATTAAAATATCGAAGACAGTTCCGACTGATTTTTACACATAAAAAAGCTGGAAAAAAACGAGCTAGCCAATGTTATTATAATTTTAGTGTTTTCTGGCAAACGGCGCTGTTTTACAGAAATATAGCCAAATAAATTAGTGCAGTAAATAAATTTATATATATATATATATATGATTTATTTTTGGGCTACAAAATGTTCGAATCCGCTACTTTTGGAGCTCCCATTCGCTACTTTTTAATCTTAAGTTCTGGCAACACTGGTTGAATTTTAAGGTTTGTCTATCAGATTTCCCACAACTTAAAATATCACATTTGTCTCCTGATGATAAAATCAAGCTTTGTACAATTTACAAAACTATTGTTGAAGTTTAACTCATCCTGTTTCACGTAAAATAGCTATATCTATTTTTTTATTAAAATATAATCGCTTAAAGTCAGAAAAAAAGCAAAACTTTTTTAACTAAACGATTTTATAAAATTATTTTCGGAATAGTTTTGATACTATTCATTATCGCAACGCTTAAATACGCCCTCTAGCGGGGTAGATATTTTCAGGCTACTAATTATAAAGTTTTCATTTAGTTCTATAAGAATCCTTTTTAGAGTAGGATGCTTTTTTTTTCCAGTAGCAAATACAAAGCAATATTTGACTGAGGAAAAGACAAAAACTACCCAGAACATTGGTAAATCATTCTAAAACAAAACGCGCCAAACATTTGAAGTATAATTTCTTAAATATTTTTCCCTTTCTATTAACAACAAGCTTGCAATCGATAACTTTCCATTTACATACTGTTACAAATGGGTGTATTACGGTGAAATAATTTTTTTTTTCTTATCTCCAAGTTATTATAAATTAAAATCCACATTGCTTGCTTCATTCCAATGAATAAATGCGATTTCAGAACGTGCAGAACTGTAATAGTTATAGAATATTCTTCTTCTTTATAGAATAATATACATTTCTGTATCTATATAATTCGGAAAACAACAATAAAGACGCGTCCGTATTACTAGAAATAGTATTATTTGTGTTGATTATTAACAAATTTTTATCGTTTTCTAGCTAAATGCTTTTTAATTTTGAATGATTAATTTCCACTAACTAGAATTCAGCTATTCTGCTTTTAAATTACATATTGAAATTCATATTGAGATCTTACAATTATAAAATTTTATTGTGTGGTATGTCATCTTAAAGTAATGAAGGGATAATCTATGTATATATTATTTGAGAACGATACATATTGAGATAAGATACATATTTTTTTTCTGTTTATTTACAAATATTTTTTCTTTGTGTTTTGATTTTCCTTCTCTAAAAAAAAAAAAGAGATTCTATTTTGTTTTCACTTGCATAAGAAAGAATATCAACATTTTTCTTTTTTAAATTTAATAAACCACAATAAAGAAGAAATATTTTTATGCAACTCTGAAGAAATCTCCAGTGTAACTAATGATAGTGTTGTTCTGCTAGCAGTCATTTGTTTCAAATAACAACGCTCCTACAGGTCGTTGCGTGCGCAAATTTGGATGTAAGTTTGAAATGTCAGTTTAGCACAAATTGTTAGCGTATATTTTTAAGTGTGATTTTACTATTTAAAACTAACACACGTTTAATTTTTTTTTATATTGCTTGATTATAAACAAAAATAAACAACAAATTATTACTTATTTTATTTTGATGTTTTTTGATGATACATTAAAAAATTCTTGGCTCTTTTAGCGAAATTTAATAATTTCAAACAATTTTCCCAGTTATTGAAATACAAATTAGTTCTTTCGCTTTTTCCTTCGTAACTATTCTCAATTCATATTTGAAATGACCCTGTAAGGGAAAAAAACATTTTTTAGAAAAGTCAATAGAATTTATTACTATGATTTTAATAACAAAATCCAAAAATTACTTAATTAACTACAGTGAGTGAGTTACTCCATTATTTACTGAGGCTTTTATTTTATTTTACCACCGACTTTGAAAAAGTGATCTTTATATTAACAATTAATTCCTTATGTAGCCGAACAAGGCATCGTCGTCATTTGAACTTTTCAATTGAATTTTTTTTTATTCATTTTTTTTATACAATTCAACTGCCGATCACTAAATACCGGGCTCCTTATTTAATATTCCCCTACGTAGCCATATAATTATGACCATGACCGCATAGACAATTGCTTTTAAATTAAAATTATCTCGTATTTACGTTACAAAAAGATAAAAAGTGCGGACACCTTTCATTTTCAGTTCGAAGGAATGAAGACTTTGACCCATGATTCGTCAGTGACTGATGACATAATCCATCTATCACTCAGGATATTTTTCGTCAGCTCTGTGGTCGGTGCGAGCCGGGTGCGGAATTCGTTTCGACCAGCCAAAGCTGGTATTCGAATCCGAGTCACCTCGTTGGAAGGTGACCACTCTATCGCATGAGCCATTTTTATTATCCGTTTTACTATAGGTAGATGGTAACTAAGTTATACTTTGTTACATAATAAGTTTTATGTAAGACTGTGACCAGGCAACATCTCATTCGCATCTCATTTACATCTGGCGAGTCTGGGCACCTATTTTTGTTTGCTTGAAACATGTTGAATGTTATTTCCAATTTGTATATTTTGAAAGTTTTAACTCAAGTAATAAACCGCTTCAGCTTCTTCGGATTATCTATTTAACATATACTATTGGGTAGCATGCAAGCCGGAAAAAGTTTGTTAACTAATGATTTGAAATAAAAAACATAAAGTTGCCAACAAAAAATTCGTGTTTTATTCTTTCGAATGCTGATTCCCTTGTTAACGATATTTTTTCCTTCCCACCTCTCCATAACGCGTGGAAATGCATTTTACCCTGATTGCCTCTCGGCCACTTTGATTTTTCTTGTTCTGTTTTCCATCTTTTTTTCTCTCTCGTCTTCTGTAGTTTTTCTAGTTTTGTTTCACCTTCATTTTCTCTTTTTTTTTTTCGTTGGCAACTTTTAATATTTGAAATCATTTTTGTTTTCTTTACTTTCTGGTAAGTCTTGAAAGTGGGCGTCTATTTTTGAAACGCTTGAAATATGTCGACTGTTATTTTATATTTGTTTATTTTTAAAGCGAATGAAGTTTCCAATCAAGCAATATCTTACCGCTTCAGTTTTTTGGGATTATTTAATTAATGACTTATTACCCATTTGCAAAATGGACCTTGTTTTGGGTTTGATGGCGTTATTTGGAAATCATCACACTTTTGAACTGTGTTCAAGAGTAATAGTAAACAGTGCGAAAGCATCGTCATTGCATGCGTTTCTATGACGACCGCTGCTGTTTGATAATGATAATTTTTTTAGAATTCTCTTTTTCACTTTTAATTCTGTTATGCATTAAATTGGTGAGTTTATTTTTAAGATATGGGACCAGAGAGATCCCATAAATATTTCTTGATCAGTGAATAAAAGAAAATTTCATCATTTGAATGATATTTTTGCTTTTATTGTTTTAATTCAGAATCAGAAATTCTAACCTATAGTTCAAACTGGATCGTTTTCAATACTAATCCAGGTGAATATCACAAATAAAGAGGGTAAAAAAAATTAGATAACAATCATTTTGCCAATTGCGTCACAATTTTTTATCTTTCTTTTTTCTCTTGAAATTTTTTTTTCCTAGTATTCTGACTGAATTAATGCTAGAATAGTGGATCCTGAAATTTGAGTAGTATTTTAATTGTTTTTTTTTCGAGCATCGAGTTTTTTGTTGATAGTTTTCCTGCATTAGTAAAAAATTTCGAAAAAGATGACAAAGCTCATTTTTTTTTGTAATTCTATGAACTCAGTTTTGTGCTTTACAACGTCAGGACAATTTTTCCCAATTTTTACCTTTTTTCGAAGGGAGCATTACAAAATGGTATTATGTCAATAACATGAAAAGTAATGCCTATTATAGGTGTTGGCCAAGTTAGAGTTGGTAGTATTAACTGTTTCTCACATCGAAGTTATCGCCGTGGGAGAATATTTAGTCACATTAACAATTCTACTTTTTTGTTCTGCCTTTTCTAATCAAACTTAGGAGAATTTTTTTGATTGGTTAGGTTAACTAGAAAGAGATTCAGAAAAATTTTAATATACAATTTTTAAAAAAAAAAATGCTATACCAGTACTCATTATGTTTTAAAACAATCGATTAGTCTATTATTTTGTCATTTTTAGGAATGAAAAAGTTAATGAAAGAAATTGAATCTAAAGACTGCTGGGTTATTTTTTAAAAAAATCTTTTGCTTTGTGTTTCTAATTGCGATATGCTGTGATCACAAAAAGTCTCCGACTTCTTGAATTGAGGTTAGCTTATAATACACAACGTGAATGGAGCGGAGCCTCGTAACAGTTTTGGTTTCAATGTTAATGTTTGCCTCATAAGTGAGATTATTTTATTTTATTTTATAACCGTCGTTGAACAGCTGACCCTATTTCTGTGTTTACGACTACTAATGTTCACCTCCGTAGCCTTGTCATTTTGAACCCAATCCAGAAGACAAGGGAACTCCTGGATCAAATATTGGGAGAAATATGCCTTAATGGAGGACTTTTTGATGGAACTAACGCGCATTTGCGTTACATGGAGAGGAAAACCACGAGAACTCCCCACGGTTAGACTGACGGCAAGGGGACTCAAACCCATGATCCGTCTACCACTGAGGATATTTCACATCAGCACTGTGGTCGGTGCAAGCCGGATGCGGAATTCGTATAGACTAGTAATCGCCGGGATTGAACACTGATTCACCTCATTGGAAGGCGAACGCTTTATCCCCTGAGCCATCGCGGCTCCATAAGTAAGATTATCTCCGAATCAAGAGAAAAGGTTCAACCGGTTCTGTTACGTAACAAACTCTGCTTTGTGCATATTTGGGAAAGGGTAAGCTTCTTCGCACGCTTCAGAACCGGTTTTTGTTTACATTCAGAGCAAAGATGAGGCCTTTATGAGGAAAATATTTAGTTTTTGACTTTAAGATCTGGTAAGAGTTTGCTTAGCTAAGTCACAAAAAATAAATTTGACTAGTTGTCTATTACCCTTGCCAGTGCCTTTAAGATAGATCCAATCTCTGGTATTCTCACGGGCACATTATATCCTCTGTATCTGTTTGCCTTCACTGGACAACCGCATTTTTCATCTCCTGGAAAGAAAGGACACACAATCTCCATAGTATTCAAGTACTCGCAGTGCTCCGTAGAACTGAAAACAAAGAAACAACATAAGCTAAACATTAATCAACAAATAGAATAGGTATTATTCAATTTCTCACTACAAAAAAAGATTTACTACAATTTTTTAATTTTTAAATAAAACGCGTAGTACAAAACAGATCACACAAGCTTATATTTTTAACGTTTTTGAATTCTATCACATTCAACATGTCATTGAAAGCCTATAGTTCGTTCATCAGGAGTTGGCACTTGGCTCCGCCTTCATCACGTGGGATCCGACATTACTATTTCGCTATTTTTGGGAGAAGGATGTGACCAATCCTGAACAAGGTTGCTATTTGGCGATTATATGGATGGTGTTTTCTACACTAGGGAACGCTGCAAGCTCGATGCCGCCTAAATTTCCGGGTTACTGTTTCCGTTATATTTTAAAGCCATTTGGCATCGTTGTGCTTTGAGATTCTTGCAAACAATGTATTTGATTACTTATTACTTGTGTTTACAATGCTAACAATACTTGTGTTTACAATGCTAAAAGTGTTAACACTAACGTAAGATGGTGCGCAGCTTGCAACAAGAACAAACAGTAATAAACTTATGGAAAGAGGCCAAATGAAAACTGCCAAAAAAGCGAGTTATTCAAAATCTAGCGAGCTTGTCACCTTTTTTAATAATAAATAACAAAATAACTAAAACAAATTTTCACTCCAAACTCCCCAAAATTCAATAATAACATTAATATCTTATGAAATACGGCAGATTTGAGCTCAGAAATTATCTAATTTATTTCTTTTATTGAAAACAAAATTATCCGTTTGAAAACATCGCCTATTAGAATAACATGTAGTAAGCAGCTGCAAACTTTTTAACCGGAACTAGAGTAGGTGCCGAGCTCGAGATTGTTATTGTTTACATTTCTACTGAAAACACCATCCATAACAAAAATATTTACTTCGCAATATTTATGTCATTTTTTTAACTTTAAATATTTCATAAATTTGATGATATTTCTATCTTTTGAGTGAGTAGTTTGTCCTCTTTGAGACATTTTACTGCAATATATTTAATTAGCTCGAGTAACGAAAGACATAAAAGCAGATGAAAAAGCGAAGTGAGTGACTGAAGAAGAATCCACTGTTTGCGTTTGACGCGCATTAAGGGTTGTCTCAATTTCAAGAGAGGAGACGTTTTTTCTTCTTACTCTGATATAAATAAACTCTTCGTCCGAGGAGGTGGAGCCAAGTGCCAACTCCTGGTCAACGAACTATACTCGATATTTCGTACAAATAAGCTTTCAAAGGTAGCTTTTCACTTTTAGGAATGCATATTGATTAACGGTAGATGTTCATGTACCGATATAATTTTTAAACTTTACCACAATCGTTGATTCAGTCATCAAAAATTGAATTTCTAGAGTTTTTGAGCCTCATCTTCGCAATAAAACAACACTTACGAATAAAACATAAATGATATTTTTTTCAATTTCGCAATAAAACATCACTGAAGAATTTGCTGTTTATTGTGAAATTGATGCGACAAAACTCTTGCAATTAAACTCTTGTTTCAACGATTGTAGTGTAGTCTTAAAAATTACATTTTTACATAAGCATCCTTAAACTAATAAACATTCCTACAATTAGGAAAGCTAACTTTGGAAGCTTATTTGTTGATTAGGCTTTCAATTACATATTGAATGTAACAAGATTTAAGAATGTTAAAAGAAAAGCTTATGCTATTATTTATTTTGTACAACTAACAATGTAGACTTTTTAAAGCTTATTTGTGCAATATATGTCTAGATGTGGCTGTGTGGCGCAGTTGCTTTGTCGTCGGCCTTCTGAGCCCAAGTTTGCGGGTTCGATCCCCGGCCCAGACACCGGATTTCCTCAGCGGCCATGTCGTATGATTATGCGGCATGTAAAAGATCCCTGGAGTGCCTTATTGATTCTTGGTATTTCCGGCAAAATTAAATTGCTGGTGCACTTTAGCATCCAAATAGAGTCTCGGTGCTGCCATCTAGGGTGGCAGAAACTAGACGTCCAAATTAACATGACCAATGGTATCTCACCCATTATGGTGGTCCTGAAAGAGTGGATACCATCTCTGGAGAACCCACTAGGTCTGTTCATCGGCAGGACCGATTGTGCAGTTCATTGGAAATTTTAAAAAAAATTTCTAGATGTAAATATGACCAACGGTTGATAATTTTTTTTTAGTGCAATGTTAGTAATCTGTTCAATTTAATAGATCATTCGCAAAAATAAATATGAAACATTTGCTTACCAGGATCCGTAACCTCCAATACAAAGTATAGGAATATTAATTGTAAACCCGAACAGGCTGGTTACTTTATATAAGTTTGTTTTGATTACCGCTCCATCTGGAATGTCTTGATGGAGAGTTATATCAGCAGATATATTGATGATGTCACTCAGTGGAATAGGATGTGGATTTACAGATAGGTTAGAAAAGTTCGCAATTCCTTTTCCGTTACCTTAAATCAGAGAATAAATATCTAGTCATTTTCCTTTTAAAGTGTTCTCTAAACAGAATGCAAAAATATATGATAACAAAATATATTATATTCGAGTGGCCATTCAGCAATGACCACAATGGACTGAAATCAATATTTTCGTTATTTGAACTGACAAAAGAAATACACCTCTTGAAAACTCCTATCAAAACAAAGCTAACCGTTTCCCTGATCTTCGCGAATTAACTCGGGTATGCATATATTGTAAATATTTATTTTCCCGAGAAAACTCGAGCACAGCAGAATTAGTCCAAACTTTTTGTTTTATAACGTTTTTACTCAGCCAAAAAATAATACCAAGCAAAATAATAATAATAATAAATAGAGCCCGGATTTTGATAACCTAAAAAATCCCAATTAATGCCCTTAAAAAAAAAGTGCAAAAAATGCCCTTAAAATGTGCAAAAAATGCCCTTAAAATGTGCAAAAAATGCCCTTAAAAATGCAAAAATTGCGCTAAAAATGCCTTATGACATGACTTAAATAAAGTAAAAATATTGAACTAAAACAATGTTTTACTCTTTAAAATTATTATGAGTTATTTAAAAAAATATAAAGCAATGCAATACTTGTTCTATGTTCATNATGAATGGTGTAAAAATAATTAAATAAATAAGAGGAGTAACAAGGAATCACACTACCTCCGTTTTATACACCAAAAATAGTGGAAAAGTAATAAGTGTAGTTGCGTGATCTATTTTTGGCGCACCCTTTAAATATTGAGTTTTGCCAAAAAATGTAACCCGGACTTCCATGGTCGCTCAGTATATCTCCACCCCCTATGTCCACTAATGTCCACGCCTATTCCTCCCATTCTCCTACCCATAGCTCCTTCAATTTGACTTGTCTTTCAGCGTAGAAAGGGCCTTAAGGGTTGTCTCACTTTCAAGCGCGGAGACGTTTTTTCTTCTTGCTCCCGTAATGAAATAAACTCTTCGTCCGAGGAGGTGGAGCCAAGTGCCAACTCCTGGTGAACGAACTATACTCGATATTTCGTACAAATAAGCTTTTAAAGGTAGCTTTTCACTTTTAGGAATGCATATTAATTAATTGATCAATTAATTCAAGATTAGACCAATTAATGCATCGATTTAATTTAATAGACCAATTTAATAGATTCGCAAAAATAAATATGAAACATTTGCTTACCAGGATCCGTAACCTCCAATACAAAGTATAGGAATATTAATTGTAAACCCGAACAGACTGGTTACTTTATATAAGTTTGTTTTGATTACCGCTCCATCTGGAATGTCTTGATGAAGAGTTATATCAGCAGATATATTGATGATGTCATTCAATGGAATAGGATGTGGATTTACAGATATGTTAGAAAAGTTCGCAATTCCTTTTCCGTTACCTTAAATCAGTGAATAAATATCGAGTCATTTTCCTTTTAAAGTGTTCTCAGAACAGAATGCAAAAATATATGATAACAAAATATATTATATTCGAGTGGCCATTCAGCAATGGACTGAAATCAATTAATTTCGTTACTTGAACTGACAAAAGAAATACACCTCTTGAAAATTCCTATCAAAACATGTTCCCTGATCTTCGCGAGTTAATTCGGGTATGCATAGATTGCAAATATTTATTTTCCCGAGAAAACTCGAGCATACCGTTGGTATGATAAATTTCACAAAAACGAAGAAATTGGTTTTTATTAACGAGAAAAGTATTTTAAACCCATATAGATTTTTTACGAAAATTGTCCGCAAAAAAATGACGACTAATATATTTTAGTTCGCGGGCCACAAAAAAAGGTTTCGCGGGGCCGGATGCGGCCCCCAGGCCACCAGTTAGAAATCACTGGTCTAAAACAATTCCTTACCGCTATTTTTGCTACAAAATTAAAACATAAAAAAAGATGCCAAATAATAATAAAAAGAAAGTTCTACACTTCGATCAATGAATTATTGGGTACGATTTTATTTTGCTGACTTTATCCAATTGTTAACAACACACGAGTTCAGTCAGTTTTAAATCAACTTAAAGATTTTGAGAATGCCTGAAACTTGAGTTTAATTATAAGAATATTTTTATCGCCTTTCTGCGAAGAAAAAATATGCGGCTCATAAAAATGTTTCAGAAATTTGTTATAAAACCCACGCATTTCTACCTTAAACTAGTATATAACGAAATATAGCAAAGATGTATGGTTAAATGTTTATTTTAAATATTCTCATAATTTTACTTACTACAGTCTTGAAATTCAAAAACATCTGTGGCACCAGATTTTTGACTTATAATTGCAATTAGAAATGCAATAGAATAAATAATCGAAGTCATTTTTAGTGATTTAAGGCTACAGTGGACGTTCAAAAAAATTTTTTTTAGTTTTTATGCTACACTAAAACTTTTTTTATAGCTTATGTATTCTATCAAGATATGCCCTTGCAAAAATTTTTGTTAAAAATATTTGGACCATTTTTGAGAAATTTAAAATTTCTTAAAAAAAANTACAATCGTCCCTTTACTTATTGTTACAATCGTCCCCAAGACGCTATTTCAGCTTCATTTGTTAAAAACATCGCTAGTTAATTAACAAAACTAATTCATTTTTATTGAAATGTTAATTAAGGTGTCCACTTACATATTCGGTTAATAATTTTTATTTGTTTAAACAAAATTATTTTGTTACAATATAATAATCTATTACCAAAAAAGTACTTAAATAGCGTGAAAATATCTTTTGTGATGTAACTCTTTCAAAAGTGCATAAAAATGGTTGCGAGCAGGGGTGTACATGTAGATTTATTAAATACACCTTGTGCGCCACCTAGGAACCAAATCTAGAACTCGACACTCGAAATTTTTTGCTCTGTTACAATCGTACCCTGTTACAATTGACCCCACTCTCCCCAACCCTATTTCCTTTTCAAAAATTTATTTAAATAAAAAAATAATAATTTTTAAATCGAACAAAACATATTACATACTTATCAATCTTTTTACGAACGAAAATTAGACACAAAAGTCAATCGAAAAAAGCTGGGATTTGAACCCGGTGCTTGCTGGAAGGCAAATAGTCTCACTATTACACCACGTATACACATCAGATAGATAATTTTTGTTAGTTAAAAGTAAATATTTTATAATAAGTGGCAAGGAAAAAATATGCGACTCCTAAAATGTTTCAGAAATTTGCTATAAACCCACGGATTTGTACCTTAAACTATATTACGAAATATAGCAAAGATGTATGGTTAAATGTTTATTTTAAATATTGTCATAATTTTACTTACTACAGTCTTGAAATTCAAAAACATCTGTGGCATCAGAGTTTTGACTTATAATTGCAATTAGAAATGCAATAGAATAAATAATCAAAGTCATTTTTAGTGATTTAATATTCTTTTAAATTTTAGATTCTTTCGTAAACACTTTTATAATATAAGCTATCAGTTTTCAACTTGTTTGTTTCTTTCAAGACGCAATTATTATAATTCAAAATGCAAAATCACTTTCATTGTTCTTTTGTATTTTATCTCGTCCCCTAAACCTGATAATACGATACATATCGAAATTGATATTGTTATAAAATTTTTATCACAATCTCTAAACTTTTTAACTATTCGGTTTTCTATCGTTTTCACTTTCACACTGCTAAAAACTACTCTCAACCATACATGGCAACGTTACTTTTAAAAAGTAACGAGTAAAAGTACAAGTATTTTTAAAAAAAGTAACGANTTCAGGATTGCATTATATTTTATCTTTCATAGTGTGATTGATAATAAATGGAGTTTAATACTAAACCGGTGATTTGAGCTGTCGCCACTGATTTAAATTAGTTGATTCAGATGAAAATCCGTTGTTCCATTTCAATTTTAATCCGTAATTTTGACATAGTGTTTAAAATCAGTTATTTCGAATGAAATCCTTTGTCCCATTTTGATTTAAATCAGGGATTCTGACACATTGATTTGAACACTTAGTACAAATAAAATTTACTTCATTTTATAATCTCTATAATGAAGGAAGCTTTTACTAATTCTAAACCAGAGATAGGCATTTTGTCATTCATCATAATGAATGAGACTAATGAATAATTATTCAAAATCTTCTGAGTTATGAAAAAAAAATGTATTTGTTACTTAGAAATATTTTGTAATTATTCATTATTATTCCTTTAGTCTTCACTCCTTCTTCATTAGTCAAGAATAAATTTAAAATAAATAACTTCTTGAAATACTGTTCAACAGAAATGCAGTGCGCCAAGAAAAAATAATAATAATAATTAAAAACGGACCAACTTGAATATCTTTTGTTTCTAATGATCGGATCTTCACGTTCTAGGACTCAATCTTATGGGCTCTAGTGAGTGACCTCGTATTCGTTAAGTAATAAGTGCAAACAATATTTCAAGTTACGAAATTAGACACAAAAACGCACTTCCTCTGAATAAGCATTCCTTTTTTTCCCCATTAATTCAGATTTCTGACCCCTGAAATATAGAGAATAGCCGTAATCTGATAAATAAGGTCCCCAAAGTTTGGTCAGGAAAACGATCCAAAATTTAAACCCCTAAATGTTAATTTTACTTTCTGTGTATTTCGCTATACTTGGAGAAATTTTTGAGAGAATAAAATTTTTTTTGCATACAATTATAAAATTCGTTTATCCAAATATTTCTTTTTAAATGCCCACCTGAAGAATGACCTAGGTCATGCAGGCATCTGAAAGGCATATTTGTTGACCACTCTTTCAGGGGCACCATATTAGGTGGGCCAACGTTGCTCTCACAGTAAGGACAGATAGTACAGAAAATGAAAGAACATCCATGCCTCACCCGGGATTCGATCCCAGAACTTTTCTGATGCAAGGTCAGTTCCCTGACCCCTAAACAGGCCGGTCGGCGTTTATCCAAAGATAATTCAATGGGGGAGAAAAAAATTTTTAGTTAATATTTACTATTTTTTATCATTTTATTTAATAATAGTCGAAAAAAATTTTGATTGTAAGTTATAAAATTTTTTACATTATTTTAAAATAAGTAATTTTACATTGCAAATTACAAAATTTGAACGAAATCGGTTGAATAGTTCTAGAAAAATTGATTTTTAAAAAAGTCGTATATGGAAAAATTTTCCCCGACCAGCCCTTATTTAGGACATACGGGTAAATGATTATTAAAATCAAAAAAAATACAGAAAACAGTGTCGTATAATTCAAAAGTCGTATATTTCAAATTCGATTTCTGAAGAATTATTCAGCCGATTTCGCTCAAATTTTGTATTTACCATGTAAAATTTCTTACTTTAAAATGATGTAACAAATTGCATACCATACAATTCAAAACTTCACTGAGTCCCAGAACGTGAGGATCAAAAGTTATTAAGGGTTGTTCATTTATTTATTTATTTATTATTGTTGTTATTTTTTTGGCTCTCTGCATGCCGACTTCTGAAACAGACTGCAATTTTAATTGACTACAACTAAAAAGTACATAGTAATAAACTACTTGTAATCGTCATTACAATTATTCACAGTTACAAGAAACGAAAAAGGGTTTAGATTACATGTAATGGTAACAATACGCTATTACAGGTACTTTTGATTGCAAGTAATCGTGGCTACTTGAAATCATAACATACGATTACAAGCAACAATAATTACCACAAATCCTAATCCAAAATTGTAAGTAATCTTGAATACAATTATTAATTGTAGCCATAATTTCAACAAGTGATATTCACTGCATAGTAATTAGAATTGTAAGTTATTGATTACTTTTTATTACATCTAAATGAATAAACATATCAATTCTCTGAATAATCATGTCTATTGCTTGGTTCTCCAAAAGTACACTTAAACGTAAACATACATAAATGCATTGTATGAACGTAAATATATACCTACATTGCAACTACATGTACATGTATATACACATGTATATAAATACACACGTATATAAATGCACTCGTATGTATATATGTCTTTTTAAATATATACAAGAAGGTCACTCATACACATGTATTCTATACACGCTTGATGTAAATACGTACATGTATACCTAAGTGAGCTATACGTACAGTGCACGAAAAAGAAAGAAAAACAAAACAAAAAAAGAAAAGAAAAACAACACCCTATAAAACTTTTAATATAATGACAGGATCTTTACGTACTAGGATTCTGTGTTTTAAAAATGTAACTTCAAATATTCTCATTAACTATTGCAAACGATATTTTGTCACGAAATCGGGCACAAAAACGTAATTTCTCTGAATAAACATCTTTTATTCCACTGATTTGGGTTCCTTACCCTTGAAATACTAAAGGGGAGTGGGGATTTTTGCACACAATTTTAAAATTCATTTACCCAAGGATGTTTCCATGCAAAAAATAACTTTTAATTATTATTTATTATTTTTGTTATTTTATTTCATAAGTAGAAAAAAATTTGAGTTTTAAGGTATACAAATTTTTGCATCATAATTATTGTATATTTTATTACTCTTTATGTAATTTTATATGGCAAAATTACAAATTTTAGCAAAATCGGTCTAATTGTTCCTGAACAGACGAATTTGAAGTACACAAACTATTTAATTTTATTTATTTATTTATTTATTTTTTATTACTATTTTTTTATTTATTTATTTTTTAAACTGAAAGATAATTTTCCAAATATATTTTCTCCTGTCCGACCTCGGTTATTATCTCTTAAACAATTGACGCACGTTCCGCACACAAGAGAGATTTTTTATTCCAAAAATATTTGGAATTACGCCAATCTCTCATGTGTCATGTGAAAATTCTTCTCCATGGTTCAAAAGATTTTTTTCTTCATTGGCCCTGAATCAGAATTTCTTTCAACTACGTTTGAAAATTTTCATTGATTTCACTGGCGTGAAAAACAACAGATATTAAACATTAAAATTAAGCAGTTTTTTATTTTATTTTTATTATTGAGTCAAGAACTTGACTCTTTAACCTTTAGATTGTTTAGTTTTTTTTTAGAGTTTGAGTCAGGGGCCCTTATAATGAAAAGCATGTTTTTGGCGAATCGGGACCCACTCCCCCCTTGTCAACAAGTATAAGCAAATTACAAACACCCTCCTATACTTATGCAAGAAAGTCGCATCAGCCTTTTTGTTTTTTGTTTTAACTTTGGCTTTAACTGTAGTAATCTTATTTCAGGATTGCATTCAAATATAAGATGTAATTTCTCTTGAAGCAAAATTTACGTTTAAGTTCGTTTAATAAAGTTTCTAGTAGACTACTTTTTAGGAATTTTTCGTGTTTTTCTTTCTGTTGTATAAATTCTTGACCCCTGATGAAACTCCTCGAAGATATTTTTTTCGAACTTTTTCCTTCCACAAATTTTTTATTATTTTTTTATTAAAAAATTTTCTGAGTTAACATTTTTTTCAAAAACTTTTTCGTTACTTTTTTGGCGTTTAAAGAATTTTTTGAAAGTACTGGAAATTTTAGCGTCTTTCATAAATATTGCTCATATCCCCCTCCCCCCTCCCTTGTCGGAAAAATAAACAAATAACAAACCGATGAACTTTCTCCTCCTTAAATACTTGCGAAATATTTAAGCCCCTACTTCTTAAAAAACTTGTTTAAAATTTATTTTAAGTTCAAGAATTTTAAAGCATCACTATTGCATTAAAATGGACTTAAAATAGTAAATCTTTCCAAGGCGATAAAAAAAAATTAATAAACGTTCATTGAAGGGAAGAAAAAAACTTTTTTCGAACTCTTGTAAAGCTATGAATATTGATAAACATATCACTTATTTTCAGATTCGGATACCTGCAAGTGACGTCAGCGTAGGTAAATCATGGCATTTGTCGCTTCAAATACAATTTACAGGTATCAGATACAGTTAACAGTATTGAATGTAGTTTAAATCAGATTTAATTGGATACCGTTTACAGGTATCCAATTAAATCTGATTTAAATCACAGGGTTAAGTATAATCACTATAAACTATACAGCATCCGTGTGAGAACTTTTTTTTTAGAAAATCGTTCATTTAAAAATCAAAATTTTTATTTTCCTTTTAAACCTTAATTTGTAATCAAGCTAAATATAGGTTGTATAAAATCTTTGTACCGAAAATAATATTAAATAAATATTTTGTGAGCTATTTAACGGATGAAATCTACATTTAAAATTTGTATTTATATATTTTTCCCAGAACTTGTTTCCTATATTTTATATTTTTTTTATAATTTTATTTTATAACCGTCGTTGAACAGCCGACCCAATTTTACGGGTTTACGACTACTAATGTTCAACTTCGTAGCCTTGTAATTTTGAACCCAATCCAGAAGGCAAGGGAACTCCTGGATCGAGCATTGGGAGAAATTTTACCTTCGTGAAGGACTTTTTGATGGAGCTAACCCTCATTTGCGTTACATGGAGAGGAGAACCACGAGAACCTCCCACGGTTAGCCGGACGGCAAGGGTACTCTAACCCATGATCCGTCTACCACTGAGGATATTTCAAGTCAACACTGTGGTTGGTGCAAGCCGGATGCGGAATTCGTATCGACTGGGATTCGAAACCTGTTCGCCTCATTGGAAGGTGAACGCTCTATATCCTGAGCCACCGCGGCTCTTGTTTCCTATATGTGAAAGTTTTGTTATGGCTACTACCTAAAAACCCATCATACACCGTAAAGCTACAGTTTGTCTACGGTAAGAACTCCCCCCGTCATAAAATCTGAGACCATCTGCTGCTATGGAAATAAGAATAGCGCATTTCAGGGAGGGTAACTTCTCTTCACTCTACGGCGAACACAACAGACCGAAAAAAAAACTCCCTTTCTCTCGCCGACCTTTAGCCAAAACATGTTCTACGCAGTGACCCCAGACTAAAACTTGGAATAGTAATACCTCGTTACCATAGTCACCACCATGGGTCCAGACGAATGGCTAGGGGAGTTCTCACTTTAGACAAACTATAGTGGAGTGCGATGAGCAGATATGTGTGGATACAGAGGGTAGAATTTTAATCGAGTAATATAACCAATTGATTGCGCAAAATAAATAAATAAATAAAAACTAGAGGATATATAAGATATGTTTATAAGAAATCTAAATACGTAAGTTAAATTTTTTGTTTGAGTTCGACGCAGATCAATTACATACAACTATTTTTATATCAAATTATTTGAAACAATTTAAAAATAAATCTTAATGGTTCGAAAGAGTGACCTCTAATATGCTAATCAATTAGTACAGACGATATATTACGTTGCAAAACAAAACATGAAAAATTACTTTCTCTGAATAAACATACCGTTTTTTTCCTAACGGATTCAAAATTCTGATCCCCCAATCAAAATGGGTAACCGCAATCTGGGAAATGGGGTCTCTATAGTTTGGACAGAAGAGCGATCCAAAATTTGAACTCTTTAAAATGCTAACTTTACTTTTTGCGTATTTCTCCATAGCTCGAGAACTTTCTAAGCCAACTGAAAAGTTTTTGCACACAATTATAAAATATGTTTATCCAAAGATAATTCTAAAGATTAATCACAGTTAGCAAATAGTAAATATTTAACAGTAAAATATTAAACAGCGCAACTTTTAATAAATATTTATTATTTTTTATTATTTTATTTAATAATAATCCAAAATATTTTGAATTGTTAGGTATCCAATTTTTTACCTCATTTTAAAAATTTTTATTTTACATGGCAAAATACAAAGTTTGAGCATAAATGGTCGAATAGTTCTTCAGAAATTGAAGTTTAAAATGTACGTTCAGTCGGATTTGCCAGGTTAGAATACTACGAGTGATACGAATTCTGCTCCTGGCTCGCACTGATCACAGTGCTGACGTTAACTGACCTCAGTGGTAGACGGATCATGCGTTAGAATCCCATTGCCGTGGGGCTAACCGTGGAAAGTATTCGTGGTTTTCCTCTCTATGTAACGCTAATGCAGGCTTGTTCCCTCAAAAAATCCCTCACGAAGGCTAGTTTGTCACAATGCTTGATCCAGGAAATACCTTGTCTTCTGGGTTGGATGACTCAAAATTACGCGGTTGCCGTCAACTCAGAATTGGGACTGCTGTTCAATGCATGTTATAAAATAAAATTATGAAGTAATTTTATTAGCCAAGAACCACGGTGGTTCAGGGGACTGAGGGATCACCTCCCATTGAGGAGATTCGGGTTGAATCCCAGGGATCACTGACTGATACGAATTCTGCTCCCAGTCCGCCCCGAGCTCAGTGCTGATGTGAAATGTCTTCAGTGGAAGACGGATCCTGAGTTAGAATCCTGTTGACATGGGACTAACCGTGGAAGGTTTTCTTCTCCATGTAACGCAAAGGCTGGTTAGTTCCATCAAAACGTCCTTCAAGAAGACTAGTTTGTCCCAATGCTTGATCCAGGAGTTCCCTTGTCTTCTGGATTGGGTTAAAAAGTACAAGGCTGCGTAGTTGAACGTTAGTAGTTGTATTAAACCCAAAAATTTTAGTTTTTCAAAGTCAAAATTTGAGACTTGCATCTTTATGGCTAACTTTTCTTTAATATAACATTAAATTTGGGTAATTACACCCGAATCACCCTGATAATTATAAAATAGCGCAATGAAACATTTTTTCAATTCTTCCTCTAGGATGAGGAGCATGTGGTCTAAATTTAAGATTTTAATTTTGGCAAAAACGGGTGATCAAAAACAACTAGAATAATTACCCTGATAATTACAAAACATCGAAATGAAACTTATTTTAGTTTTTCTCATTATAGCATAATGAACGCACTGGTTCGAACTTGTAGCTTTTATCGTGGTAAAAACGATTTTTTTTTTTTTTTTTTTTTTTAGTTTTTTTTTTNTTTTTTTTTTTATAATCCCTCTCTGTTTTTGCCTGCAAGCAAACAGGTTTTCATATTTTCAAGGTGCTAGTATAGTAATTATGCTTGTGTTTGTACGTCGAATAATTGGGCACTAAATTCAATTACAAACAAAGCTTACACATTTTCCCTTGCTGTGTAAATAAAAAAAATATTTAAATAAAATATCATATCCCATTTTAAAACATTTTTTAGTTCATTTTTGTGGATCATAGCTTCGATTTTTGATAGTTTGGGGCATATTGGGTGCAGTGACGGTAATATCAAACGAAGCATATGCTTTCCTCTCCCCCCAATAATAATTCAAAACTTCAGAATTTTTTCAATATCGTTGCTTTTTTAAAAAAGAATCCGAAAAGATCTACCTTTCAATTGATTAAAAAATGTAAAAGTTTTACTGGCTTACATGAAATTTATTTGCTTTCATTTAAGTGGCAGTTTAAAATTGATTGAAAAAAAAAATTCTTTCTAATTTTTTTCAATTCGAAAGCAAAGACTGCAATAATTTAAATGAAACAAAATTTAACTATAGTATTCAATAGATTGTATTATTTTGTAGTTACTCAAAGTAGTTTATTAAACAATTTAAAAAATTTTATTCAGTATAGTGTAATAATTTTTTACTCACTTTTTCATTCTTTAAACAAATACAGCAAGTTTTGAATTTAAAATTTATTTTTTGATAAAATATTTCAAGCATTCTTGGGGAAAATTTGATAGATTAGTTATGTTTAATGGTCTTAATAATATTTAACCTGTTCTTTCAATAAATTTCATTGGGAACGAAGTATGATTTTCACATTACTAATTAACTTTAAATGTAGAATAAATTTTTTTTGTTGACATAATTGAATGGAATGTATCTTTATGAATTTCTTTAGATGATAAAATAATTACTTAAAATTTGACACCGAACTTGAATTAGACTGGATCGTTCCAAATGCATAAGAAATAAAAAGTAGTAGGGCCTACNAAAAAGTTTATATAAACTCTCAAATATAAGTTCAGAACAAAATAATATAATATTATTCTTTTAACGTTTTTGGGCAAAGCAATCGCATCAATAGTTACAATTATAATGTAAAAAAAGAGTCTGTATAATAAGAAATTTGTTTTATCAAAAAAAATTTCAAAATAAAATGAGGAACATAGAAGAAATAGTCGATCTTATCGATTCTGCCGCCCCATTTGCTTGCTACGCTCCTGCATTTTAATTGATGAGTTTACACCTCGTTTATACTTCTTGAATACTGCTGAAGGCTGGTCTTTTTTTATTCGAAAATTCCAACTGTTCTGCACATTTCAGACGACAAAAGTTTAAATTAAAAATTTATGTTTTACAAATTATTTATCAAATATAGCATTTTTATTTTTGGCAACATATCAACTTTCCTTCCTTTGTTGTCATTTTCCCCTGACACCAATCCGAATGTAAACAATGTGCGTACGGAAATCTGTTTTCCATCCTTTCCTTTATAATTTCAAAACGCCATGCATTTTCACCCCTCCTATATTTTCTTAAAAAATCTTCGCATTACTCAATGTGCACTTGTTCTATTTCCAGGTGCTTTCCTGCTGCTGGTAAACCATAAATAGCATTGCTTTACCCTCCCCCCAAAGGCTCTGAATTCAGAGACTTGCTGCGGTTGCACTATTTCCAAATTTGGGAGGAAACATGATTCTTCAGAAGAGTTCATTACTTTTAGAAGCCCATCGTAAACAGTGTATATTCCCTTCTTCGTAGTACCCCCATCGTGTTGCATATTGTGAAACAATGACTTAGGTATTTAATATTTTATTCATTTTTTAAAATATAAATTTAAATAAATTTTTTTTCATGAGATTTTGAATGTAAAATAACGAGCTATTAAATGTTCCTAAAAATTTATTTGTGGACAAAAAAAATATTTAAGTTATATTAATTAATTTTATTGCATTCCTATCTTAATGTCCCAACATTGTTGCACATTGTGAAATAAAATATTAAAGACAATTCCAATGAATAAGGTATCTAATACTTAAAATCTTCACTAAATATGAATTTATTTAGTTATTGTTATATGTAAATAATTAGCTATTAATTATTCTTAAAATTTATATTTTGGCATGAAAAAATTTATTTTATATGAGTTAATTAATAGTATATTTCTATCCTTATTATATTTGCATCTTGCAAATTAAATTTTTAAAGGCAATCACAGCATCTTTGGTACTTAATACTTTATTTAGTAACAAAACATAAATTTTTTAATGAGTTGCTATTTTATAAATAACTAGCTATTAAATATTAACATTTATATCTTGACATAAAAAAATATTTACCTATGTTCTTATACCATTATGTTCCATATTGTAAATATAAATATTGAAGGCAAATAGAATAACTAGGACATTTTGAAGTTGATTGTAAATTTTTGACCATGAGTATTAAATGTTATAAAAATTTATTTGCTGATCAGAAAAACATAGTTACTTTACAAAATTGAATTATAAGTATATTCTTAAGCTTCATTGTTACTTATAAAGACAAATCCTATAACTTTATTATTTAATATTTTATTTGGCTTATCAAGCATTAATTTAATTTTTTTTATTTGATTGTGATTTTTAAATAAATGATTTTCTTTCAATTTATATGTTGATAGTAAAAAATATATTTACATTACCTGAATTAATAATGAGTTTATTTCTACCATAATATCCCATCTTGTTATGTTTTGTGCTGTAAAAAAAGGGAGTTTTAAATACATTTACAATATATTAGGTATTTTATTGTTTATTAGATTTATTTAATTTTGTGTTTTTGAATTTTAGATAATAAGTTTATAAATATTCTCACAATTTATTTGTTGATGTGGTAAGCAAATTCACTTTACATGAATTAATTATAAATATTTTTCTATATAAGTTTTACAAGTCACAGTGTGTAAAATTAACTCTTTAAGTAAACATAGTAATTTAGGTATTTAATATTTTATTCTTTTTATCATGCATAAATTTATTTAATTTTTTTAGTAATTGTAAATTTTTTTGTTGCCAATGATTTATTATTTTTGAAATTTTTGTTGAAGAAAAAAAACATATTTATTATCCTAATCTGGGTATCCGCGCACCTGGAAAGGCATGAATTTCAGTATTAAACAAAATTTGTCTTGATTTTTATTATATTTTAAAAAAATCATGGGAAGTCATGGATTTAGGTCTCTAAAAATTATAATTTTAAAATGGATTCCCCCCCCCCCCAATTTCATCCTGTTCCTAATATCTGAATTCCTAACAAAATCACCACTCAGTCATATTTTATTAGAATATAAAATGATTTTATCATGTTTTTTAAAAATTATGGTGTTGTTTCAAAAAATGAAAGAAAAAACATCATTTCTTGAGAGAATTATCTTTTAAACTTCTGTGATTTAAGAATTTTTATTATTAGTATTTTTTTTTTTTTTAATTTTATCAATTTAAAATTCTAGTTGAAGCAAACCAGTCATTGGCGAATTTTTTTTAAATTCCGAAATGAGAACAGAAAAATCAGGAGTATTTCCTTCCTTTCTGATGAACAAGAGAAGTATCTTTAGAATATAAATCTGCTGGAAAAAAAAGGGGGAGGGGATTTTTTGCTTTTGTATTTTTTCAGCTATTTTATTCTTTCAACTCTTCCTTTACTCTGTTTTTTTAAATTTAAAATATATCAATATGAAGATGCAGAGTATAACAGTTCTTGTTATACCTATCATTTCAATTAATGTTATTATAATGCTTTTTTAAATTGTTGCATTTTTGTCGGAGAAAATAGTAACTTTGTTAAATCATGAAAAATTATTGGAATTAGTTATGGAATATCATGAAAAGTCATGAATTTGAAAATCTAAAATATAGCAGATACCCTGGTAATATATTTAATTCCCTATAAACTTTAAAATATAAATTTTTCTTACTATATCATTATCTGATATGCACTCTTGAAATTTAATATTTTATTGCAAAAAAAGTCTTAAAGGAATATTTTGGAATTATTCAACTATTATAGATGGTGCATATAATTTATTTGCTTATATTTTTTATTAACTTTCCAAATGAGCTAAAAAAATTTGGTTTCTGAATGTAGATAGTCGAATCAAACGTTTTTGAGATCTTTCTCCACAGTTTGGTCTTCCCTTTTTTTTTTTTTTTTTTTTTGGATGATACTTGTAAATTTTTGCATGCTAATTTTAAATACTTATTTAAATAATTTTCTGTTGGTCCAAACTTAGTTTCTTCTTTTGACCTATGAGACCTAACCTATAGCCAACCGGAGTCGGACTCAAGCAAATTTTTTCCAACTCTGACTTCTGCAAAGTTTTTTCTGAGTTTTTCTGAAGTATATAAATAGTAATTTTCTAGAGTGTTTTAATCAAAATATTTTATGTTCGCTTTTTATAAATTTTACTAAAAATTAACTAATTGATTTAATTAAATTATAATTTGATTAAGAATGATTTTAGAAAAAAGTTCAAGAAATTAAAGAAATTTGAAAAGATCGGAAATATGTAATGCCTATTGTGGCATCACAATGGGGACAAATTTTTTACATTTTTTTTCTCTTTCTGAATTTATGAATTATTATAAGTAATAAAAGAAGCTATTGAATTGAATAATAGTTTTTCATTTTATTTCCAATTTCAATGAATGATATAATTTTCTTCTTTCTAGCTTTACAAATGCTTCCATGCAAGTTTTTTCACTGGAATGTTCACTGTTGGTTCCACATCAGTATCTGCTCACAATGCTACTAAAAGTTCTATTCAACGATATTTGAAATCCCGTGAACATCGTCAAATACATACAAGGTCACGCAAATATTTTCAAAGAAGTGCAAGTCATTTTAGTGGTGGATTTGCTATTGAATCTAAAATATCTAATCTACCTGTCAATGTTGACTGCATCAGTGATTTCAACCTAGAAAAATCAGTTCCAGATGATATGTAAGTATTATAGTTTTATTTCCTTTAAAAAAAAATCAGTATGCTGATAAAATAAATATAGATTGAATATATTGAACATGTACAGAACAGTTATAGTTTTCTAAGGAAATTCTAAAACAGAACTATATTATAGTTAATTCAAGTTGTTTGCTTGCTTCCGTATGCCTGTTAAGGCAGAGGGGTGAGTTTGTTCTTGTTTTCCACCTATGGCCAAGAATTCGACTTCTGCCACATCCATTACATCACGCCCGTTTATAGGGCGGACCCATTCATTCTTCCACAGATCAGAATTTTGACCTAAATCAGAAAACTATCAATCTCCAATTCAGTACCCCCAGAGGTATTGATTTGCTATGGGAACATGGAGGACTTTGCAACTCAGTAGATTTAATGTGTGTCAGTTACCATTTCACTACACGGGGAGTCTTCGGCCAGCGGGGTTCGGACGTGGACCCAGCGCCCTACCGACCAGGTTATTCCGGCTCTAGTTATTGGATTCTTTCTTTGCTTTTGGAGAGTTACAGTTTTTCATTAAAATCAAATAAATTTATGGAAAGCTAAAAGCTGTTGGACAGCTAAAGCTAAAAGTCCATTTATATAAAAGTCAAATATTTAATTATGTAGTGGGATGTTGATTATTTGTGAAGTTTCAAATATGTATAATGCCAGTGGTTGGAAGTAGCGTGCTACAAGTTTTGAAACTACTGTAGTCGTTATTTTTGTTTTCTTCGTAGTTTATAGTGTAGCAAGCACACTTTTTTAGAAAAGTAGCGTAGTTAGCTGTGCACTTTAAAAAAAATATAAAAAAAACTGATTTGTTGCGACAAGGTTAGAAAAGAAACAAGGTTAAAATGCATCTAATTTTTCGAATCTGAGGTATAAACCTTTGTGGGTCTATCATGGGCACAATATGATTGTGGATGAGCATTAATACAAATTAATATTACTGATATTTAAACTAGCCATTACCCATAATGGCTAGTTTATCACTTTTGCCGCACCTTCAAATGCAAATGTGCACTCGTGTTACATTTTTTATGTTATTTCTATGGAAAGAAACGTATTTTCAATATACTTTATTTCATAGAGAAAGTAAAAGAGCATTAAACTCTTAAAAATATTGCAAATATTTAATAATTTCTTAAAATATATATTCGTTTTTGAAAAAAGCAAAAAAAAATTAAAGTAAAAAAAAAAACTTTTAAAAATTGTTTATAATTCTAGTTTATAATTATAAAATTGTAATAATTGTTAAAAATTTATAATAAATAGCTAATTTTTCACTTTTGCCGCACCTTCAAATTCAAATGTGCATTCATGTTACATTGTTTATGTTATTTCAATGGAAAGGAACATATTTTCTCTGAAATTTTCAATATACTTTATTTCACAGAGAAAGTAAAAGAGCGTTAAACTCTTAAAAATATTGCAAATATTTAATAATTTCTTAAATAATATATTCGTCTTTGGAAAAGGCAAAAGAAAAAAAAAATTAAAGTTTAAAAAAAAATTTTTTTTTTAAAGAATTGTTTATAAAAACTAACTGGCTCATGTAAATATGAATAAATATTTCTTAATCTTTATTTTATAATTAGTTTGTAGTCGCTACATTTCAAAAAAAGTAGTATTGGCTGAAGTTCACTACATTTGTAATAAAGTAGTGACTTCCGTGTTTTATAGTAGTGAAGTCTTTTTTGTGAGGTATAGAAAGCATTATGTCTCATAATAAGATATAGAAAAATATTCACCTTTAGCAAAGTAACGGATGACATGCTACCACCTACCATGTAGGATTTCTACAATATAGCTGGCATGACAAAAAATAAAAAAAAATTTGTGTGTTTCTTATGGCCCAACGATCAAGGTCGTACTCAGGGGGAACAGGGACAATTTTCCCAGAGTCTTTTGAGAGCCTTGTTGAAGTTCCATACTAGAAGTGCAATGCTTTTTGATTCGAAATGGTTTGTTTCTATGCATTTTTATATGATTGTTGAAAGAATTCTTTACATTTAAGTAGGCACATATTAGAAAAAATATAACTAAACAAACATTCAATTTTTAGTTTTAAATGCACACAAAATGTTTTGAAGTTAATATTTCAGTATTTTTTTTATGAAAAGTGATGTTTCAAGAATAATTGTTTTGAAAAAACTTACATAATATGAAAATTTGCCAACAAAGGATTTTGATCCATAGCTTGTTAAATCTAGTGTCCACACTTGCCAATGAATTAATGAGATAAATTCCATATGTACTACCAGCAGCTTATTGATATGCTTGTTATTTTTTTAAATACAATAAACATGTTAAAAAGTGATCTTTAGCCATAAATTATAAGGAGACTTTTTGCAATATCTCATACGCATAAAATATTTCAAAGTATCCAAGTCATATTCTAATTTGACTTTTTCTCTTCTAGAGATAACCAGAACGACTTCAGTTATTCTCAAAAATTGTTTCACATTTCTGACGGAAATCTCTACAGTATTTTTTCACCCATTCAGGGAAGAAGTTACGGAATGAAGCCTTCATTCCTCAGGAAGCAAAAGTACACTGTCCAAGAGTGTCATGGCCGTGGACGTAAAAGTATGCGAAAAGGTTTAAAATTTCACAATTTTTTACCATCAGAAAGTGTCACCTCTGAAAAAGACAATGGACCATCGAAATCAAAATGGAAAGTCCATTCTGAATGTCGATTAAGAGAAGAACACGGGACCAAGCAGATTACCATTTCTAATTGGTCACAGAGTGTTCAAGAACCTTCTGACGATCCAGAATGCCAAAATTCAGTTCTTAGCAATTACAATTCATACACAGTTAAACAAAATGATAACATTGATACTGATAACAAAAGCAATGCTCCTGATGAACAAGTAGCCAGTGATAGCAACCCATATGATTTTGAACCAAATGTGGAAGACAATGTTATTTCCGTCATGGAATCATTGGAAAATATTAGAGAAACTAATGCTATTGAACTTAAAAAGAAAGACTGTAGTAAGTTATCCCACTTGAGAAAAGGCTCATTAAAGTCAGTTTTGAACTCTTTATTAGATAAGCCAATGCTGACAGAAAATAATATCTGTGATCTTCCAGAAGCACATACTAAGTTTTTGCAAAGTCAAAAGCACAGAAGAAAGCCTGTCCAGACCAGGAGAGTAGTGCCTTATACAAAATATCTATCAATACTGGAAGAAGATGATAGTTGTCCTCTAGACCTTTCATCAAAATGCTTCGAGGAAAAGTGCCCAGTGTCAGGGGAATTCTCTGAGAAAAATAAGTTAAGCTGTGATGCTTTTTCAGCTGAGCCAAAACCAAGTTTTTTAAAACCTACTTCAATCTCATCCTCTAATCCCAAAATTATTTCAGTTAAGAATAGTGATAGTGCTGTGAGTCAGTCTGCTCTTGCTCATTTGCTTCAAAAGCAAGTTGTTCCACCTCTTATCCTTTTGTCCTCTCCATTAACTCATCCTCTTAATGTTGGATCTGCATTTTCACAAATGAATGGAACAGTATTAAAAGGAACTGAAACAGATGCTCAGAAACATCAGTTTAATTTGACACCAAATCGAATAAAACTCAAGACTAATTATCCTCCCATGAATTCAAATCCTGGGCCATCATTTTCTGGCAACATGCAATATGCCGTTCATAAATCCTTTGTCAAAAACTCTCAGCCAAAATCCCGCCGTCGCAGCAGCCAGAGGTCAGTTATAAAAAAGAATTTAGAAGATACATTTAAGCAAAATGGGTTTTTAGTAAAAACTAAACAGGTTAGTGATGGTGAAGCTACATTTTGTAAATTTCGACAATTAAGAAAATACACTAGATATTATTTAAAAAGTTGGCAACAACATTTACCTGATGAAGTTCATAAAATGTGGAAAGGATTTCTTCCCCCCAAAACTGTTTTACCACCGGTTTCAGGATTAAACGAACCAACCAACGGTTTTCATTAAATGTTTTACTACTTTTAAATAATTTATTTAATCAAATTTTTTTAATAACGCTTATGTACTTTGAAGTAGTAATTGCCTTTATAGGGTGCAGCAAAGTAATATGGGTGAATAAAGTTATAAAAACTTAATTTTATTCATATATTGATATGGTTTTTCATTTTATTTGAAGACAACAAAAACATCTATGTTAAACACACTTTTATGTTTGATACAGATGTTTTTATGAAAGGAAGATAATCATAAAGTGTTTAAAAAAAGAAAATTTTACGCAAGAGATTTGAAAGGATAATAAAAAAAAATTCGTTGTTACAGATTTAGTAAAAAATTTATTTCAATTCTTTTTAATCATTTTCCAAACTTGCATGGAATTTTCCCCTCTATAGAACCAATTTTTTTTGAATAACATAAGAAATTAATTTACTATGCAGGAAAACATGAAGATTAAAAAGACAAAATATCAAGTATTAAGATATAATATAAATGTTTCAAAGAAGTAGTAACTATATTAATCACCAAAATTTTTTCATTGTTATCTAGAATCTTTCTTGCACTACCAACTTGCGTAGTTGAAAAATTACACAGCTCTTAATTTCCTATATTATTTTTGCATCTTGTAACCTAATGTACACTTTAGTTCTAGTTTATAAACTGGTACTTTTTATTTTCACTTTAGTCTGTTCTTCGAATGCTCCGTCGTAATATGAAATGATGCTTTTTAGCCAATAATATGCTATTTTTATAACTGCTATGAGTTCGCAATTGTTACTCGTGACTGTTTGGTCAAGTTTAGCCTATCTAAAGCCAGCACTGTCTACGCTTATTTTGAAAAAGGCACAAAGTATCAATATGGAGAAAAGCTGCAGTTTTGTGAAAATGAAAAACGTTTGTGGTCTAATATTTAAAAACTTACTCCAAACTTACTACTTGGACTCATAAATATGTTCAATAACTGAGAATGCAGCAGTAATTTTTAAATGGCACCAAATTGGTGAGTTTTAAGAAAGTTAAATAACTTTTAAAATATTCAAGTTATTTCTCTGTTCTAAAGCCCAGATAATTCTTTGCTTCAAGATTATATGTATAGTTTAAAATCAACGCATTGCTTCAAGTGTAAAGTACTTAAACTATGGCTTTTTTTTTATTTTCCTTGCCAGCAGAGCTTCAAAAAAAAAAAAAAAAACAGGGAGATGGGTCAAAGTATTGGTTGAGATACATTCAATTTGGTCTGTGTTATTTTGCTGTACCTTATATGAGAATTTTAAAAAAAACATGTAATTTTATAACAGATATTTTCTTTTAACTATTTATTAAAACAAAAAAACAACAATTTTAAGTTGTTTACATAATATATGTATTGAAAGAAACAGTATTATATTTTTGCAAAAGTAAAGTATTCAGGCTTTTAAAATGTTAATGTTTGTACTTAAAATATGTATATTTAATAGAATGCTATAGTAATAAGACATTACAGTTTTCAAAATTTTTCTTACTATTGAGCTAATTTTAAAGTGTGTTATATTGTTTTATTTATCAATTTACAAAATATTATAATTTTTAAAATTACATGTAAACTAATCTCATATTTAACTAATTCAATTTTTAAATTTTGATTTTTTTAAAATTTATTTTATCATTAAGTATTTGATTTACATTATTTCCTCTGAATCACTGGTTTTATTATCTCATTTAACCCCTTTTAGTTGTTCAAATCTAGAAATTAGTGATCTATAATTCACAAGAGAAGTAGAGTAAAAAAATGATTTTGATAGTATACTAGAGACACATTAAGACAAATTACCTACTAAATTGGATCATTTATGCAAAAATAAATAAAACGAAAGATACTGTAAAAAAAAAGGAAATTTTTTTAATAATGTTATTAAATTATTCCAAAATTAAATCCTATAATTTTGAAATATTGTACGATTCTAAAATTAAGTCTTAACAATAAGTTTCTTTACTTTTTCTGTATTCTCGATGATCGACTGTCGAATATATCTGATTTAAGCGAAATGTCACATAAACTTTACATTAAACTATTAAGAGAGATCTGTTTTAAATTGCATTTACATTATTTGATAATTAAGTCAACATAAAATAAAAACACCGAAAAATGTTGGGTGTTTTTTTTAAAAACTTTATTTAATGTATTTTAGTACAAGACGATACAACAAAAAAATATATATGTTTAATATATGCCCTTTTCCTTAATGCATTTATATGCTCTTGCTTAGCCAAATTCTCTCTTAAAAATCGTCTATTACTATAAAATTTTAAAATGTTTTTGTGTAGTACTATTCTAACAAATATATTATGATTAATACTATAAATATATAAATATGGTATTTAAATTTTGAATAGTATCCATCACCACAATTAACTTTCTAAAATGTGCACTTTTTAAAATGTATATTTAACTTCTGAAAATATGCCCATGTTAAAATATGTATCCTATGGTTCTAATTTTCTTAATAACAAATATTGGCATTTTTTTTTTATATGGTCCTTTCTTTTTTGTATGATTAGTATTACTATTATCACTGATTTTTTTTTTTTTTTTTAATTTATACAAATTTTTAAACTCAAATGAAAGTGCATCATTTACATTTTTATTTTTAATGAATCTTAAGCATCTCTTCAAGGAGAAAGGTTATTAAAATATTGTTTTTTTTTTAATCAAATTTCATATCAGAAAGAAACATTTTAAGATGTGTAAAAAAGTAACGTATGTTTAAGTTTCATAATTAGATAACATTTTAAATTTATCCGTTTTATTTACAAACTAGGCCTAAAAATATTAAGTTTTATATTTTGTTTTAAAATTTGCTTCTTTTTTTTTTATTATCATGGAACCTTTAACTTTTGGAAACAATGAAAAACGCTAAAAAAGTTTTTATTTTTAACAAACCTTATTTTTTATGAATTACTTTAACTGTCAAAAATGTCGAGAAAAAGTGGATTCCCTCAAAAATGGTTACAATTTTTATGGCTGTAATCAAAAGTGTTGGTCTAAATTTTTCTAGGACTCATTGGATTAAAATCTTATGTTTTTGGCCTGCTTCATACAAGTTACAAAATTTGGTTCGTGAATTTGCTTTCTATTCCATGGGTTAAATGTAGATAATCAGTTTTTTATTTAATTTGAAATAAATAAAGATTAAATGTCAAATTAACCCCTTAACAATCGGTTAATTTTCGAGAAAACGGTCATAAAAGTGCTTTTTTTTTTCTGACATCTGAACATCTTGTGCTGTCATCTAATTTAAAATAAACTGACTATCTACAATTACCTTAAAAATATCCTGGTACTGCCATCTGGTGTATAAAATGAGAAATAAAATGTTTTCCGGGCAAATGAAATGAATTAGTTTTATTGGCTCGTTACTACTGAACACTCTAGCCCGGAAATATGACAGGAGCGAGAAAGAGATGACGAAATCTCACCCCGTCATTTTTGTGGGAGCGAAAAGGAAGGGGTTAAACCGTACTTTATAAAAATGTTCAAAATTTAGCGTGCATTTATTCTTGTCTAGTCCTTAATTGTTTATGACTTTAGAGAACACTTCTAAATATTAAACTGTGTTGTTATAGGAAGTGCATCTATAAATTGTATTCTATACCTCACATTTTATTTATAATGTTTTAATTCTTCGTTTTACTGTTTGTTTTCCTTTCATTAATGAATCTCAAAATTGTTTTGTTTGTAATAATTATACAATCGTTTCTGTGTGCATTTCTTTAAATATTTTTAAAAATGTGCCAAATATTTATTATGTACAACTAATGTATTTATTAAAGGCAACTTGAAATGTGGCTAGTGTATTTTTGTATTATTACTACTGATAAAAAGTTCAACTTCACACTCAAATTAATAAATTTTATTTTAGCAGAAGGTCTTATTAAACAACAGTTTGAGGGCATTAATTTCTCTTTATTGTCCTCTGCAAATGTAGAGTATGCATTTGATAAAGTCTACAAGTTTAGTGGTTACTAATGGAAAAATATTGTATGATAATTAGGTTTCTTTGACGTGAATGTTTTCCTGATATTCTAAAGCTGATTTTAAGAAAAAAATTTTATAATATTACTTCTTACTATTTCTATACCTGATTTTTCAAATCAGGAACCATGTGATTAATGCAGTGTTATAAAAAGTCCTTAAATTATTAAACAAAGTATCCCTCTTCTAGACTGGAGGGTTTAAAAATGTGGGTATTTAACTGTTTCCTTTTTTTCACAGGTTATATAATAGCAAGGTGATTAAAAGGTCATAAGTAACAAATGCTTATGACGGCTAGAAATAAATAAAATTTAATTTATTCTATTTCAAAGAAATACTGACAAAATTTTTAGCATTTTCTGAACTTCCTAACAAGTTTAAAAAGAACTGAAGTAATTTGCTATCTTTCTGTTGGAAGGCATACAATACACAATTATGTAGCAATAAAAACTGTATAGTTGGATGTAGATGATTCACTTTCCTCTATATGTTGGTACGCTGCTCAACTAGGTATCACTGTTTCGGTTTGAGATACTAGATTTAAAAGCTATTTTAATAACTAAGATATGCTATGTCTTATTTTTAAATTATTGTTTTGTAACAAACAAAACAAGTAGAGACTGAGCATTCAATCAGTACCTTGTGTTTGCCAGTTAGTAGATATATCCAGTGCTGGATTGGCCATGGCCTAGGGCCCCTTTAAAATGTATTTTTTGAAAATAAATTTTAAAAAATTAAGAAAAACAAAGATTTAAAAAAAAAAAATCTATATGTTATGATTATTTTTTAGTTCTAATTTAACAAAATAAAGTAAAATTCAATTTATTATTATTTATTTTAATTTTAAATATGCTTTCTTAAATGAAAAGATATATAAATACTTTTATATTTGAATGAATAAAAAATATACGAGAAAAAAAATTTAATCTAAGGGCTCCAAAAATTTGAATGGCCTAGGACCCTACGTACGCTTAATTAGGCTCTGGATATATCATCTGAAAATTCATGCCAGTTTTCCTGCAATATTTCATTTAGATGGCTTGATAAATCTGAAAGTTTTTTTTACCTTCAACTGATATTGTATGCTGTAACAAACAGTGTTTTTCAATTAAAAATAGTGTGAACTTTCTATGATTCATAAAATTTATTATTGCCATATCTGATTTTTATAAATTTCACGTGACTGTTTATTTAAATAACTTATATTAATTTTTAAGAAAAGTACTATAATCACCTTGCCCTGGTAGTGAATACTACTGCTAGATGGAATTAGGATTTTAATTTCTGTTGATATATAATTTTTTAGCTCCCAAGTTAGGTTAGCATTAAATACAGAAAGAGGCAAATTATTTCTTTGTTGTGGTTCAATTATAATGCTCAAGTTCTGTTTGTAAATGTTATAAAAATCTTATTTTTACAAGTTCTTTTTTCTTTCTTATATACTATTTTTTATGTAAGTGCGGAGGCCCTTTAGTAATTATAGGACATGAAATTGTTTTTCTCTGTCATTGTTCAGTGAAACAACTGAATTTGAAAGNTTAATCTTAAGCATCTCTTCAAAGAGATAGGTTATTAAAATATTGTTTTTCTTTAGATTAACCTTTATGAAATTTCATATCAGAAAGAAACAATTTAAGATGTGTAAAAAAAGTAACATATGTTTAAGTTTCATAATTAGATAACATTTTAAATTTATCCTTTTTATTTACAAACTAGGCCTAAAAATATTAAGTTTTATATTTTGTTTTAAAATGTGCTTCTTTTTTTTTATCATCACGGCACCTTTTATTTTTGGAAACAATGAAAAACGCTAAAAAAGTTTTTGCTTTAAACAAACCTTTTTTTTTTATGAATTACTTTAACTGTCAAAAATGTAGAGAAAAAGTGGATTCCCTCAAAGATGGTTACAATTTTTATGGCTGTAATCAAAAAGGTTGGTCTAAATTTTTCTGGGGCTCATTGGATTAAAATCTTATGTTTTTGGCATGCTTCATACAAGTTACAAAATTTAGTTCTTGAATTTGCTTTCTATTCCATGGGATAAACGTAGATAATCAGTTTTTTTTATTTAATTTGAAATAAATCAGGATTAAATGTCAAATTAACCCCTTAACGATCTGTTAATTTTGGAGGAAACGGTCATAAAAGTGCCTATTTTTTTTCCGACATCTAGTTTAAAATAAGCTATCTACAATTACCTTAAAAATATCCTGGTACTGCCATCTGGTTAGTAATAAATGAGATGTGTAAAATGAGAAATAAAATGTTCTCCGGGCAAAAGAAATGAATTAGTTTTATTCTTATTCACCCATTACTACTGAACACTCCAGCCTGGAAATTTGACAGGAGCGAGAAATAGATGGCGAGACCGCACCCCGTCATTTTTACAGGAGCGAAAAGGAAGGGGTTAAACCGTACTTTATAAAAATATTCAAAATTTAGTGTGCATTTATTCTTGTCTAGTCCTTAATTGTTTGTGACTTTAGAGAACACTTCTAAATATTAAACTGTGTTGTTATAGGAAGTGCATCTATAAATTGTATTCTATACCTCACATTTTATTTATAATGTTTTAATTCTTCGTTTTACTGTTTGTTTTCCTTTCATTAATGAATCTCAAAATTGTTTTGTTTGTAATAATTATACAATCGTTTCTGTGTGCATTTCTTTAAATATTTTTAAAAATGTGCCAAATATTTATTATGTACAACTAATGTATTTATTAAAGGCAACTTGAAATGTGGATAGTGTATTTTTGTATTATTACTACTGATCAAAAGTTGAACTTCACACTCAAATTAATAAATTTTATTTTAGCAGAAGGTCTTATTAACCAACATTTTGAGGGCATTAATTTCTCCTTATTGTCCTCTGCAAATGTGGAGTATTTATTCATTTGCTAAAGTCTACAAGTTTAGAAGTTAATTATGCAAAAATATTGTATGATAAATAGGTTTCTGATGTTTCTTTGATGTGAATGTCTTCCTGATATTCTAAAGCTGATTTTAAGAAAAATTTTTAATATTACTTCTTACTATTTCTATACCTGATGTTACAAATCAGAAACCGTGTGATTAATGCAGTGTTATAAAAAAGCTCTTAAACTATTAAACAAGGTATCCCTCTACTAGACTGGATGGTTTAAAAATGTCATAAAATCTTGGTATTTAACTGTTTCCTTTTTTTCACAGGTTATATAATATCTGCACATAGCAAGGTGCTTAAAAGGTCAAGGTGATTAAAATCACTAAGATATGCTATGTCTTATTTTTAAATTGTTTTGTAACAAACAAAACAAGTAGAGACTAAGCATTCAATCAATACCTTGTATTTGCCAGTTAGTAGATATATCATCTGAAAATTCATGCCAGTTTTCCTACAATATTTAATTTAGAAGGCTTGATTTTCAATTCAAATTAAATATAGTGTGAGCTTTCTATGATTCATAAAATTTATTATTGCCCTATCTGATTTTTATAAATTTCACGTGACTGTTCATTTAAATAACTTATATTAATTTTTAAAAAAAGAAATATGATCACTTTGTTCTGGTAGTGAATACTACTGCTTGATGGAATTAGGATTTTAATTTCAGTAGATAGATAATTTTTTTAGCTCCCGAGTTAGGTTAGCATTAAATACAGAAAGAGACAAATTATTTCTTTGTTGTGGTTCAATTATAATGCTCAAGTTCTGTTTGTAAATGTTATAAAAATCTTATTTTTACAAGTTCTTTTTTCTTTCTTATATACTATTTTTTATGTAAGTGCGGAGGCCCTTTAGTAATTGTAGGACATGAAATTGTTTTTCTCTGTCATTGTTCAGTGAAACAACTGAATTTGAAAGCAATCTTGAGGAAAAATATGTGTACCAATAACATTTCAAGCAAGATAATTTTGAAATGAAAAGTGCAATTACCAAACCCGTCGTGTGCATTTTTCAGTCGAAATACCAGATTTAACTACTTTAAATCGAGAATAATTAGGTATTTTTTCACTAGTGATAATAACTAGACGTCACTTTATTAAGATTTGTTACTTGCATCTGGATTTGTCAGTCTAGGAAATAATTATTATGTTAGTTGGTTTTCACTTTACCTAGTGAAAATTTGCAGCATCATGTTCACTACACTTTTGATAACATACTTATTACTAATCATAAAAGAAATCGATTTGAGTTCACAAAATATTAAAAATACTTTGGGCTAAAACAAACTTCTAGATCCTATGACAAAAAAAAAAATTATCAGTCAGTTTAATTAAAATGTAAGATTTGAATGCAAAAAACAATTTTTTTTCGGCAAGTTATAATTAAATAAAGTGCACAGCAGTGCAATTTAAGTTCGTAGAAGAATTTCTAAGAAGTTTTTATTAATGGACAACATAAATTGTAAAAGGAGCTATGGTCAAGTGAATTAATATTTTGCCATGTTATCCATCCAGTTTCTTGTAGAAATTTTTTACTAACAGCTTTACCACAAAAATGAGGGTCCTGTAAAAAAAAAAAAAAAAAACATTGAATTAGATTTTTTTTATGATTTTTTTAAAAAAGTGAAAGAAAGAGATTAAGATTTCTGTAAAATCAAGACAGACTTACAATAATATATATATATACAAAAAAAGGAACGTACTGAAACAGGTTGCGTAGCCAAATCTTTCAACAAAAAATAAGCACCTTTTAAGTACTTTTTAAGCACTCAAAGAATATTTTTAAGCTCTATACACATCAACAAAATGCAAATTAATTTTCAAAGACAGTTCATGATCTTGATTATATAAACCATTATAAAAAGGTGAAGAGGTTTTTCGGTTCGATATCAGACGGTGGAAAATGAAGCCTGAAATTGAGAATATCTTGCAAAATGCAGCAGAGTTGCACATGAGAGTGCAAGATTCTCCCCGAATCCAGCTCAGTAAACGCACATGTGTACTCCCAAGTATTTCATCAAGCACGTAAAATGATTGGCGTTTTCATACGTTATGGACCGACGGGACGCCGAAATAGATTGTGATTAAATGAATTGCGCAAACATTGAATAGAACAATGTGAAAAGCGTGCTTTTGCATAATACGTGGCGAAAATCAACATGGTAAAGAAAAAAATCCTATTTTCGAAAAGGGAAAATTAAGCACTTTTTAAAAACACCCAATCAAAAAAGCACCTTTTAAAGGCCTTTAAAAATCGAAAATAAGCACTTTTTAAAAACGCTGTGCACCATGTAAAAATGAGTTTTGGTACGTCTATTCACAAGAAAGTTTTATTGAAAGTTAATATAATTTATACGCAAACACATGCATTGACATAACAAAATACAAACTTCTAGCTATATTTTTTACTGACACTAAATATATTTGTTATTCCACGAAATCAAATTCAATAAATCACGTCATTTTAAGATGTTTTTTTTTACAACCTTTTCTACCCATTCTTTGCTTCAGAAATGACATCCTGATAACGCTGACTCTAAATTCAGGAAAAAGGTGCAGGTCTGATGAAACTAGATTGTAGTCTGGATCAATTCTAAGCTCTCGTATACCTAGTGTGAGGTCTTGAATTAATGAAACGATTACAACTCCAGAATCATAGTCGCTCTCAAGCAAGATAGAAAAACTTAACTACCAAGTTTTTATTTTGAGGATCTGGATAAATTCCAGGTATCATAAAAACCTGGAATTTATCAAAATCAACTTACATCATTTCGTTTTTAAACTAAATAATTTTAAATGATTAAAACTACATTGAAAGTAAATAAATTAAATAGTGTTTAAGTAATTTAAAATCTGTATTTTTTTATTTAAAAATAACTTTTAGGAGCTCACATTACCAAATACTCTACTGACATAACTGTTTAACATATTCGGGTGACAGCAAAATTTCTGATCGGGCCGCGTTACCCGTATTGGGGTGGCGCTTATTCGACTACTTGTGTAGGATATTCGTATGTATTTTAAAAGATAGTTCACAGGAAATATCAAAACTATTGAATTGTTATACAAGTAATACAAAAATGATTTATTAAGAAAATTATTTGGAGCCTCATAAAAACTTTCTTGTTCACTGCAATGTGACTCAATAAGAAATAAGCTTTCCATTTTTCTTTTTGAAATTTCAATGAATTAGGGTAGAGATTGTAAGTTATACTTCTCTTTAACTCGGCAAAGATTCACACTGATCATGAAAAATGGCAAGATGAGAAACAGATGCGAAGCAACAGACATGATACCATGGAAATAAAAGGAGCGAGAAATTATTTTTTTAACCACCAAAGACTAGCATTATTAAAATATTGGTGGAAGAACTTAGCAGAATACGCTTCGTATACTCGTGGCTTGAAGGAGATTTCACTAGAGAGTTTGCATAGCTGAGAAAAGGTGACCTTGTTTTCGAGATGACACACCTGGTGAGTGAATCCTAGATTCTTTCCCCTTTGTATTACTTATGTATCAATATGTATTCAAGAATATTTTAAATCATTAAATTCTTAATTTAACGTTTATATGTTTATTAGAATTTTAACTCAAATTAACATGATACATACTAAAGTAATTTCAATAGGTGTATCAATAGATTGTTGCTGCCCTTTCAGATTTCAGAAAGCACATGAATTGGTGAAAAAAAAGTTTATTCAGAGAAAGCGTAGTTTTTAGTTTGCTTTTATAGCTTAATTTCTTCGACAAACTAATTAGACTATTTAGGTTTTCCTTAAAAGGTGTATTTAAATCTGAAGAATAATTTGAAGTTTGAACCGTTTAGTATTACTTTTAATTTTTCTCCTATATATCGAATTAATTATACAAATTAAAAGCACAAATATAAAACTCATTTGTTCAAAGATAATTTCCCAAAAAAGAAATTTTTAATAATATATTATTAATGACTACAAACCTCCTAATTATCAGGTACTTAGTTTTTTTTATCATTGTTTGCTATGAAATGTAAAAATCCAAATTTTGAAATAAATTAACTGATTAGCTTTTGCAAAATAATTTTTAAAAAATTTACTATTTTCAATAAAAAGATTTACATTTAATTTATTTACCAGCAAAAAAAGAAACTATTTATGCATTAGTGTGTCTGATAAATAACCATTCTCATGACATGAAAATTGAATTCAATCGCAAAGAAGTTCCATAAAATTATAAAAATAATCTCAAGATTTAATAATGCCTTTTTATGCATTCAAAAATGTTGCTACCTTTTATAAAGTTATCTTACAGTAAAAAAAAAAAAAAATAAAAAATAAAAAAAAAATAAAAAAAAACTAAATTTTCCTTCAATTTGAAATGTGAAATACAAAATTTTTTGATTTTGTCAGTCAACACAACTTTTTACAAATAAAATTAATAAAATTCTTTTTTACAGAATAAATTTTTTTTTTTGCTTAATGTTGAACTCACCTATTTTGAAATAAAATTTTAAAAAATTTACGAATAATCAAACAAAAATATTTGAACAAACTTGGAAGTAATTAAATATTTACCAGAATTAAAAGATAAATCTCATCTTGATTTTCACAGATTCCAAGTATGCCCTTAGAGGAGCAATCCCGATCACCTCCTTAAAAAAGTCATTAAGAATTAAAAAAAATTGCTTAAGGAAAATACACTAACATCAAAAATATGGAAAGATTGAAAAATTACAATTATTCTTAAAACATCTACTTAATTCTTATATAGCATGTTTTTCAAGTGGTGCAAAATAGGTTAATCTAAATTTGAACACATATTTTTAAAACATTAAATACATTGAGATCAAAATATTCTAAAATTTAACTTAAGAAAAATTTTCATATGCAATAAACCGCTGTTTATCCATATTTTCCAATTAGCTGGTTAAATAGAACTTTTATTTAAATGTGGTGAAATGGAACATTTATTTAATCTGGTGAAATAGACCATTTATTTAAATACATTTTGATATTCGTTGCGGCTCACGGGATAGAGCATTCGCCTTCCAATGTGGAGAACCGGGTTTGAATCCCATCGATAACATGTAAAAAAGAATTCCGCAGCTGGCTAGCACCGACCACAGTGCTGACGTAAAATATCCTCAATGGTAGACGGATCATGGGTTAGCGTCCTCTGACTGTCAGGCTAACTGTAGGAGGTTTTCCTCTCAATGTAACGCGAATGTGGGCTAGCTCCATCAAAAAGTCCTCCACAAAATCAAATTTCTCCCACTGCTTGATCCAGAAGTTCCCTTGTCTTCTGGATTGGGTTCAAAATTACAAGGCTACGGAGTTTAACATTAGTAGACGTAAACCCAAAATTGGGTCAGCTATACAACGACAGTTATAAAATAAAATATATTTTGATGCATACACCATTAGCTATAAGACAGGCATCAGTTTCAGTAGCAACTATGCGTTTGTTTCTGGGTGGCCTGCAAAAATTATTTCACTTTTAATACTTATAAGGGGAGGAAAAGATTATATTTTCCCACTACATTTCAAGACACAAATTCTTTCCTTATGCATAAAACTTAATTCTTATTAACATTTTAAAATCTTGGGTGTTTTTTTTAAATGATCCAATATGTAATTATTAAAGCCCGGATTTTGATGACCTAAAAAATCTCAACTAATAACCTTAAAAAGTGCAAAAAATGCCCTTACAAAATGCAAAAAATGCCCTTAAAAATGCGAAAATTGCGCTAAAAATGCCTTATGAAATGACTTAAATAAAGTAAAAATATTGAACTAAAACATTGTTTTGCTCTTTAGAGTCATTTCAAAGAATATAAAGCAATGCAATACTTGTTCATTAAAGTTTGAAAAATATGTTTTATATCCTAAAATAACAAAGAAAGGAAAATATATTGACACCAAAATATTTTTATTTTGTATAGAAACTTTAATGGATATAACAACTTCCATCTCATAATATTACTAAATATCAGAATTACATTGGATTATTAAATGTTTTTTGATAATTTGAAATGTAAACGAGCGTCTCTTGTCTGAAAGTAAATTTTCATTCCTGCAGAAGCTTCTTTCAACGTCTACTGATGTTATAGGTGCGTACTTGAAAAAGACGGTCTCACTTACTGACAATTCTTCTTCAATTTGAAAAGATGTTGCTTCACCTGTTAATATCCTAGAAATTTTCTTCTTTGTTTGGAAGCCAGTGTTCTTCTCCAAAACTTTGTTCAATTTAGCTGCAGCTGCTACACTTTGTGCTATCTTTCACCTTAGTTTTTGCAACACTTGAATCACTACGTCAATATAATTTAATGCATCGCAAAGTTCCAATTCTTGTTTCTCCAAGCTTGTAATTGTCGAGGACACAATAGGAAAGTTAGACTTGATAAATGATAAGTTTCCTTCGATTTTATCAGAGGCCAACATGTTTTGCGCTATCTTAATTGATGCAGCATCTTCTGAATCAAGACAAATTATAAGACAAATCTTGCATGTCATGTAATAAAAATGCCCCAAAAAATAATAAAAATTGGAAAAAATTAACAAAAAACTTAAAAAAATGCAAAATAAGCCCCAAAATTTAAAAAAAAAAGCTCTATAAATCTAAAAAAATTCTCTAAAGGACCAAAAATGCAAATGTCATCAAAATCCGGGCCTTAGTAATTATATATTAAGGGTCTAATTAGTTTTTTTTTTCTTTTTTTTTTTCATTATTTCAGAAATCAATAAAATAAAAAAATATTGCACTTTTTGGCCATCTTACTTTTTCTTTGATAGAAGAACCCCAGATCATATTCTAGGAATGAGGAAACAATATAAAAATTTCATTTTTTGCTCGTTTGTGAAACCCTTCATTTCACTCCAGAGAATATTTTTAGTTATAGCAGATGCTAAAAAAAATATTGAAATAATATCATTTAAAATTCATTATTTGACTATTGATTTTTTTCCTATTTTTTATGTGACATGAAACTGGTATTTCGATTCTATAAATAAGAGGAAATAATATCGACAAGACTATTGTACAAGAAAAATTTATTAGATTCATCGAAAAACTATTTAAAAATATATAAATAACATTGAAATAAATATATTGCTTAAAATACAAGAAGAATGATTTTATACTATAAAATTATAGCCCATTTTTTTGGTTAAGAATTTAATAAATTCAAACATATTTCTTGAAAAATATACACTTTTCTGTATATTTTCTTACAATATTCATTACTTTCTTTATTAACTTTGATGTTCGATTCTTGCAATTGAAAAGACTAAATATTTTTTTTTTTTTATATTTTACAATTTTCTTTATTAACTTTGATGTTCCGATTCTTGTTAGTTTCAGTTTGTAATTTCGGCCTTGTAATCTTTTGAATATTTTACATTTTTCTTCATTTTTTATTTATTTTGTTCTTAAATACTGTTTTTTTTTTTTTTTTTTTTTTTTTTTTTTTTTTTGTCTCTTATGAAAAAGTTTGGAATTAGAAATTTTTTTATGCTAATCAATACCAAGTTGAAATCAAATATTGAAATATCATCTATAACTGTTCATCTGAAAAAAAAATTCTGATTTAGAAAATTTGTTACTGCCGATATATTTTTTCCTTCCAAACTTTTTCGAACGAACTATAATGCAATATAAGACAATATTATGCAATATAAGACAATATTACGCAATATAAGACAATATGAAACGAAATATGTATATATATATATACATGTATATCTAATTAAGAAAAAAAAGATTATATACATCAGTAAAAAATTAACAATATAAGACAATATGAAACAATATACATTTAATTAAGAAAAAAAGATTATACTATACACAAGAATTATAACATGTCAAATTTGAATTTTCTGGATAAATCAAATTAAAAAAAACTATAGCTGCATAATCAGGTCATAAAAGCTTCATCTGTTAAACTAGATTGTTGAAAAAAAGTTGGAAATTTTTATGTACCCTTTAGTTTGAGAGTCCATCCTGACGTCTTCTTTTATTCATGTATGCCTGATATAGCTGTCAGGAAACACACTCTATAACAAAAAAATCGACGCACCAAGAAGGAGTTGTCCGATTGAAACGAAAATTGGTGGATAGGAAGACAATGTACAGAATAGTAAATGATTAAAATTTCAGAACAATTGAATTATTTATTGCAGAGTTACAGTAACAAGTTCAATAAGGTGTTGATCCGCCTCTAGCCTGGATACAAGCTGCCACATGGCATGCATAGACCGATAAAGCTCCTGGATGGTTTCTTGCAGTATTTCCTGCCAAATTCGATCCAATTGTCGAACGAGGTCATCAACATTCTGTGCCAGATGCAATCACCTTCCCATCATATCCCAGACATGCTCGATGGGAGAGAGATCTGGTGATCTGGAAGGCCAAGGAAGAGTTTGACTAGCTTGCAGACAGTTCATAGCAACACGTGCCGTATGTGGTCTGGCATTGTCCTGCTGAAAAACCAGCCCAGAGTGGTGCAAAAGGAATGGTAGCAAAACAGGTCTTAGGATATCGTCGACGCATCGCTGTGCAGTAAGTGTACCTCTAATTACGACCAAAGGGGTCCGACTGTCAAAGAAAATGGCACTCCAGACCATAATGCCTTGTTGAGGGTCAGCGTGGCATGCAATAGTGAAGGCAGGGTCCCCCTCTGCCTTGTGCGTCTCCAAACACGTCTTCGATGATCGTCAGGACACAGTTGGAAGCGGGATTCGTCGCTAAAGACTATACCTCCCCAGTCGGCATCATTCCAGCCTGATCGAGCGTCGATTTTTTTTGTTATAGAGTGTATATACTTTTTGCATTCCATGGCTCTCATAGAATTCTCTCATGTCCATGGTAATAAAGTTTGACCAATATCTAATTTAACCACATCCACATGAATTATTTCTTTTTAACACTTGGGACACTGTCCAGACTGTTGTTACCAGATATTACCATCTTGCTAGACAGTTGATGTGAAAAAAAGCAACCACATTCCACCAACATAGAACACTGGCCTAACGATGAGGCTTCCCTCAAACAGAGTGGACAAAATGGATGTGCAAATCCAAAATGAACTGGCAACTCTTACTTAAGTTCTTGGATCATCTCAAACACTTCTTCAACGATTGGTTCATATGGTTTAGACAATTCTTGAAATGTATCATCGATCAGAACTTGAATTGTATCATCAATTATTTCAGGTTCATTTACTACATCCACACTTTTCAAGTTCTCCAACCGAAAATTCAAAATCATCCCCACCTCAGATGGTGATTCCAGTTCCTGAGGTTGGATCACAACATAAGGTGTAAAGATTTCTGTAGGGGTTGTCGGATGATAAACACATGGCGGAATTCCTTTCGTTAGTAGTGACAGGATCGCACTCTAAATTTAAATAATCTTCTAACACTGCAATTATTAAATAATCTATAGATGATTTAAGCATTTCTTTAAAAATTCTGTTCCTAGCGATAAGAAAACGGTAACGTTTTTAATATCCAGCACACAGTTTGAGCTAAAAAGAACTCGAATTTAAAGACTATTTTTCACGACAAGTTTAAACTTAATTTGGAATTAAAGGGCAATAATTTATAAAAAGGGTTTTGCTATTAATCCAGAGGGCGCTGCCATCGATTCAGAGGTCACTGTTGAATAACACATGTAGAAGTAAACCGTCTAGCCTATGACTCAACGTAAGAGGCGTAAATATGTTACATCAAGTGATTCATATTGGCTGTTTTGATGGAAAAACAAAAATGCTTTTGTCAGCTAGAAAGTGATTTGCAGCAGATGAATACTGTGGGCGGTGCTAGTCTCTTTCTAGACGATGCTACTAACCCCCTCTCCTCAGTTGGATCAGGCCCACTAGCAGCTTGGCCACCTGGCTGACAAATACAAAAAATTTGTAATATATTTATTTATATTCAATATCTTTACAAACCCATCATAATAGGAGAACCATACTCTTCAAAATGTTGCAAAATATTGTTGGCTTGATCTTTTAAATCTTTTAGAGACCTGTTGTGCATTATTCTACATGGAATCTGCATTAAAAAAATAGATTGAAAATATAATTTCAGATCCACATTTATCTTTCAAATAGAAGAATTTACAGATACAATTTGCAGCTCAATATTCTAATCTATCTGCAATCCTAACACAGACAAAGATTATTATTGTAAAAACTAGGCTTGATCTAACATGTACATAGCAAAATTTGCATTTATAAAGTAAATAAAAATTTTACACAAAATACATTAAGTTGTCAAAAATTCATTTTAATTTTAAACAATGTACTATTTCTTAAAATTAAAATATGTAAAAAATATGTTCAATTAAAATAAAATAAACAATGTACTATTTCTCAAAATTAAAATACATTTTTGGTAACTTAAATGTATTTTGTGGAAAATTTTTATTTACTTTACAAATGCAAATTTTGCTATATACATGTTAGATCAAGCCTAATTTCTTAACAATATACTATTTCTTAAAAGAAATTAAATAAAATTTTTGAGAATAATAAATTTTCTGTACCTTATATGTTCAAATTGACAAAAAAAAAAAAAACTTCTTGCATTTCGATTAAGTGTGTTTAGGAATTAAAAATTATTTTGTGCCTTTTCTCTTTTACCCATTTTGCAATTTTTTTCACCCTTTTTTTTTTAAAAAAAAAAAGTGATGTAAAATAATCTGCAAATGCTGTGATAATCTGTAGAATCTAAAGCTGTGCTGCTGAGCTTCTGCTATATTATATAGAACATGTATATAGCATCTGGTATATTATATAGAACATGTATATAGCATCTGGTATATTATATAGAAATTATTTGGATTAAAATATATTTTATACTGATTATGACAGCCCAGTATGCCTAGTCTAAATATTAGTATTATAATGTCTACATTAAAGAGTAACTTTCAGCTGAGGAGCATCAGATGTAATTCTTAATAACTTGTGGTCACAGGGGCATTCTCACGACGTCCATTGACCGACCCATTAAAACTTGTACCCCAGTAGCTATGCTACTTGTTATGCACTACTTCCCACCACATCTGCTACTTTATCATTCTTATTAAATTTGTGTTTAACAAAAAAAAAGTAAAAACTTGAAACAGACAACAATTGTTATGGTTCCAAAATAATACACTAAAATATTTATGGATCTATAATAATTGCCTTGAATTTTTTCTATATTTTTTTCATGCCATTTGAATAAGAAATGAGTCCAAAAAAAATTTTAAAGGTGAAATCGAATTTTCTGTAAATTTAAATGACAAATCAACGTTACATTGTTATCTTTATTATATCATTCATTTGCCTAAGTACAGCGTATATAGCAGCCAACTTATAATTTTTACAAGGATGATTTTTCTCACAAGTGGTAGTCAAAAGATTATTGATTTACAATTGTAGGCAGAAATATTTCCATTTTATTTTGCCACACCATAATGAGATTGTTATGCATTTATATGCTATACTTATGATATCTGTTCAATATCTCAAAGTTGAAGAGGTTCTAAAAAAATTTTGACATAGCAAATTTTCAAGATAAGAAGTTCAGAGCTAAATATGCTCTAAAAAGTAGAAAAATAAATTCTAAAATAGTTCTCTAAAAAATATAGTAATTAAACATAAGAATAACTAATAATTATGCATGTAATGATAGTTGACTACAAGTCTAAATACAGCAATGATAATTTTATATTTAAAAGTAAGACAAAAATAATTATGCATTAAACAGAAAAGAATACAATGAGTTGAATTGTGATTCTTCCCATAAAAATTCATTTCCTATTTCGAAAAATATTCAGTGTAACAAGGTTTTGAAAAGAAATTCTTCAACATAGGAATTCAAATTAACATTATGTCGACATGTGATGTCAAGGAGGAAAATATGTTTCCGACTTAACAAGATTTTTGAGATATAGAAGTTTGAGATATCGAGAGTATACTATATATGCTTAATTTATTTATGTTCAGTGGTGGACAATAGTGTTTCAAATAAATTTATATCTTCAAGAATCAAATAGAAAAAAAAAAAAATTTTGCTACCACTTTAAACATAAAAATAAAATCTTGACAAGATTTGTAATACAGTCAAACCCTGCTATACTGAACCTTCAAGGGGCGAAATTCCGGCTCACTATAACTGGGTGTTCACTATATCCGTAACGTAAGCAATTTAACTAATGGTTCCCAAATTCCTCCCTTTTATTACACATTATTCAAATAAATGACTGAAAAATATTAAGTAGTAGCAAAAAATTTGTTATTTTTTATTACTCTTCGTCTTGCGTACAATAATAAAAAAAAAATTTGTAATCATTAGCTGATGAGCTTCAACATCAGGTATGGAAACACTTCAAGACTCTCAGATAATTTTTCCTCAATTTCTGTTATTCCGTTTTTTAAAACTGTCTAACCTGCCATTCGAGCACATAAAAGTAGTCTCACAAAATCACTTAGCAAATTCATCGACATTTGTCCAGATACTGGAAGATTGTGGCTTTGAATGCTGAAGCACTTCAGTAATGCTTCTTCAACATCCTTGTGATCAGCTTTTCTCAACTTTTTTTCTGCTATCTAAATTCTTTTCATGAGCAGAAATTGTTAATTGCCTATTTTTCCATATGTTACAAACTGTAGATTTGGATAGTTTATATTCCCTATAAATATCAGCTTGATTACATCCATTTTCAATTTTTCTGATTATGCCCATTTTATTATCAATGGAGAACGTTTTACGTTTACTGCTTGCCATAGTTAAATTTGAGACACTTGTTTGCAGGATTTTTTTTAACTGAACTGGGAGCAAAAAGAAGTTTAAAGGAGGGCCTTATCAACACAGATCAGTGTCCAATCCTTTGATCAATAATTAATAATTACTCATTCCCTATGACAGAAAATGCACATTGATCGCACTGACACAACACCTAACAGTTACATCATCTGCCCGGGTTGGAAACATCTGCTTGATTTGTTTAGGGATGGGAAAGTGAGATAAAAGAAAGAAAAAAGAAATAATACTTATCGTTACATTCCCCTCTATAGATTGTTTTAAAAATCAGCATATGTATTTATTTTGAAGTAGAAATTTCAAAATTATTACAAAAAAATTAAGGAAACAATCATTCGAAGGCAGAAAAAAGTTCATTATATCCAACTTCCTCACTTTTTTGGTTCACTACATCCACAAAAAATAACATTATACATGTATAGAAAGGCACGGGACTGAACATTTTGTTCACTATATCCGGGAGTTCATTATAAACCGTGTTCACTACAGCAGGGTTTGACTGTAGTTGGTATGTATGATGGTATATAGTTGTGCAAGATTAGATATAATTCTCTGCATTGAATTTCAAAGGAGTTTTGTAACTTAACTGAAAAAGTTTGAGAACTTCTACTCCAGATTGTGAAAAATGGATGCCTTAAACTAAAAATTAAATGACTAATAATGAAAAAATACACTAAGATTTTAAAAAAAGTTAATATAAAAATGAAAATATCAAAATCTGAGCCTAACTAATTATGTACACATTTTATAAGAAAAATATTTTAGAGATAGTACCAAATCTGACCAACTAAAATATTATACATTTTTTTTATAGATAAATTAAATATAATTTAAGCCACATAGAAACATTTCAGGTCTTTATGCATGTAGGCAAAAATATCCAGAATCTAAAATCTGAATAAATTAAACATTTAATACAAACTATGTAAATAAAATATATTTCTATTCCCAATGATTGAAAATAAAGTGATGAACTTTCAAAGTAAAATAATGTTTATACTTCATAAATATGATCAATAACATATGCTACTTCAACAGTTCCAATCCATTCCTTTGATTCAATAAAATCATCTTCTTTATCTCCGATTTCTACTAGAGCTCTTTGGATTTCTTTTATTGATGGAACCTAAGGATAAAAAAAAAAGGTTGTCTCACTTATTTATCGATAAACATAATAAAAACGTAAAATTATCAATTATAAGGAAATATTGAGAATCAATAGACATCAAAAACAGGTTTAAATTATAAAAAAATCTAAGATGATAGACACGAAACTATATGTCTAAAGTCTTTTATGGTATATTTAAGATGACATAATAATGTATAAATAAATATAAGCTGATATATAACTACATAATGAACAAAGAAGAAATTACTATCTTTTTCGTTATCTAGGTGTTCTAGGAAAAAACATAGTTTTTTTTTCCTTCTTCCTTTTTTTTTTTTTTTTGCAAACATATTCTTTTTAACATCAGTTAAATTGAATAGACAAAAATAATATTTAATATTTTATCTGTAAAACTACATGCAATGGACCTATTAAAATATGAATAATAACAAATATACCAATACATAAATGCAAAATTTTATGTTTTTTATAAGATAATTTTATTTGTAGTTGTCAAAAACTGTTAGATGACAAAAATTCGCTAACTCTGATATCAATAAATATAATATACTAATTTATTTTATATGAAAAGCTAAAATAAAGATTTCTTTTTAGCACTTATGCACATCAATTCATTTTTTAGTAAGCGAAATGCTTAAATAATGCTATACACATTCGATAAAATTTTACTGTATTAAGCTTTAAAAAGTCTAAAGTCAAACAGCCCCCTTGCATTTTAATTATAATCATTGAGTAAGTATAATGCAATACATAATTGAAATTAATTTTAAAGTGAAACTTACCTTCATAAATCGTTTTTGTTTTTGTTGTTCTATAATCCAAGAGCAAATAGTCTGTAAGGTTCTATAGCCACACCCCCAGCCCTAAATAGTAATTGGAAACATTTAAGACTAATAAAAAGAATTAAGATGAATAAAAATAAAATGGAATAACTTAATGCCACACACTATAATTTTAAAAATCAAATTGCTAAAATTAGTCGGTTAAAATTTTTTATAAATACTTCAGTATAGTTTAAACATAATTTTTTTATAAGAACGTACTTAAGTGTGAAATGATAACACAAAATAACAAATACTAGCCGATTTCTAGGTATAAAACAAAAAATTTAAGTGAGATCATACACTGAAAGGGTCATGGAAATTTTACAGTTACAGGGGGAAAAGTAAATACCTAAAAGTATGATTATAAAGATCACAGAAAAAGCCAAACTTGAAGGACAAAGCTCACAACCAGCTATTTTTTTAAAAATTCATTACGAAAACCAGGCCATGACACTTCGGTGATTGTAGTTCACACAATGTTGATTCAATGCAGAAATGTTCCCAATAAAATTTCATCAAAGTCGAGTAAAATATTCCTCTACCTGATTAATGTTAAATGAACCTTTCCAAAAACTTAAGAAAATATAAAGCAAATTTCTTTGGAAAAACCAAATTAATATTTGATGCTGAACTAATATTTGATTTTAATTTCCTTTTTATTACAAATAAAAACCTATTTGAAAATATAGTACATCAATGTGTAATAATTTTTTAGAGCATTAAAAAGAATTAAGAGAAGTAAATGCGTCTGAGTTTTTTATTTTTCCTTTGCTGAAATAGGAGATAACTGACATTCTTAAGTTTACAAGAAAATAAGATTGCCTGTATTGAAAAGCTGGGGGAAAATATAGTTGAGAGTGCCCCTTGGAAAAATTGGCGACTTATGTTTGCGCGGAGCGCCGTGGTAACAGAAATGGCGGCCAAAACATAATGATATTTCAATGAAACATTGGAAAATTTCAACAAAACTTTATGAAATTGCAGTGAACACAATATAAGCAAAATTAATAAACCCAATAAAATGCATTTTGAATCGAAACAAAAATTAATGGAGTAAGCACAGAAAGTAAAGAAAAAAATAACTCACTTCTTCATTAAGCTTGAATATCCTCAGAATTAGGTGCACAGAAAACTCTAATAGCAGTTTACTGTCTAAATTTATCATGAATAGAATCTCTGTACCTCCACCGCCACATAAATTTGGCGAAATATGAATCGATAGCATCTGTGGTACCGGACTGTCGGTAATATTTTTTTCTAAAGTCCCTTTAATTAACTACCCACATATCTTCAATCTTATTGGTATGGGCCCCGGTTTCCGGATCCTTAAATGTCTCAGAGTGGTTTACTGATAAGTGTACGAACCCGCTTTCTGAAAGACAGTACGACTTCCAGCAACTGGACATTATCATTATTCCGGGTAAGACATTTTGTTGAATTATACTCAACAAAGTTTTTTTTTGTACGATCTGAAACAACTTCAAAAAAAGCATCTTCTACTCCCTCAATCAACACCATTAAACAGCCACTTTCCTTCCGCCCGTTTACCCCTATTGTATTTTTATTTCCCAAATTTACTTTCGTCTATTTCTACAATCATGTGAGGTCCCCCAATCATTTCATGCTTTCATGTCCACACAGTGATCCCCACAAAAATTCTTCCAATCCGTTATAGTTCTGTCATTGTTCATATTGAGTTCGTTTCAATCATTTCGCTATTAGCTTCATACACCCTCATCAACGTAAAAATTAAGATATCAAACATACTCAAATTATTCTCCTCCAACCATGATCCCTTTCTAATGGATCGTTTTATGTGGTGAGCATTTGAACCTTTCAACGCTGTCTGATCAATCTTTATATTCGACCAGAGACATATCTTTCCGACAAACAGGACATTTATATCTATTACTAATTAAACCTTCATTCATACACCAGTCAACCACTGCTTTTTTTCCCATTGTTATTTAAATCGTACAGAAACTTAAGATTTATCTTATTTACTCAGTGTTTTTAACTACAGCGCGAGAATCTCGCATGTTTTTTTCTTTTCTCGCATTAAAAAATTATTACTGCGAGAAATTCGCGCATTCTATAAATCAATTTCAAAAATCGCGAATTTCTCGCATTTTGGAAGAAGCTTCGAATTACGCTATTTAGAATAAAATCCGTTTCACTTTTCTTCATGGATCTCTCATTATTTTCAACTTTTGCTCCGTTATCTAGCTTCCCTATTTACCAGTATTGTTCAGAACCTTTTCGAACAACAGAACACAACCGAACCATGGAACCCCTTTCAGAACACATTTCTCTGCAACCACGTGTTTAGCGTAGGTAAAGTTTTTTCATGTAAGACGTTCAAATTTTTTATGCACTAATGTAAGATGGACAAATACCTATTAAAGGCAAAATCTTCTATGATGATGCAGCAAGAATATTCAATGCTTTAAAAAATAGAAGACGTTAAAAATGTATTATAATAAAAGAAATGATTTTTTCTCCAAGTCTATTTGTGTTTTTTAAGTTTTTGGAAATCTCACTTAACTTTCTGAAATCTCACCCTGTTTTTGAGAAAGGGTGAGAAATTCTCACCCATTTTTTTTCTATGATGAAAACACTGTTACTGTATTCATTTTTAGTACCAGAAGCAAAAGTAACCTTACCAGCTGGTATCCCAAGTAGAACTAACAAATCTCTCAAACAGTGTTGCCAGAATTTAAGATTAAAAAGTAGCAAATGGGAGCTTCAAAAGTAGCAGATTCGAACATTTTGTAGCTTAAAAATCTACATTATACACATATATATTTCTTGTGAATTAAGAAAATAAGTTAAATTTCAATGCATTGCGTTAACAATTTCGTCAAATTCACTATTTTGTTTTAGCTCAGATTAAAGGTCATGTGATTTTTCCAGAAGATAAACATTTAATAATGGCTGAGGTAAAATTTCTTTCCCCATCATACTCGCCGTGCATTTTTCCATATATATCTTTGCGATTTCACGAGTCTATGATTTGAAGCATAGATATGGAGAGATTCAAGACTCCACGCAGCAAAACAAATCAAGAATCCAAAACTAAAGCTGATGCGTTTTCAGGAAGAAAAAAAAGTTTCTTTTTAAAAATGATAAAGAAGCTGCAGACTTTTTAGAATCATTTTATAAAGGGAAAGGAAAAAAATTTTAAAAAAGTATTTCTGTACGAAAAAAAAGTAGCGCGTTTTTCAGATTTGTAGAGCTTGAAAAATATTGAGTAGCCCAAATTCGATTTTCAGATTCGACTTTTAAAAGTAGCCCAACCCACTCCTTGTAGCCCAATCTGGCAACACTGCTCTGAAATTACATATACCGTTGAATATTTAAAAACAACGCTAAAATCTAAACAAATCAGAATCACGATTAAAATCTAAACCAACCAAAATCACGATTGGGTTTCAACATCGCCCAGCTTGGCGATCAACCGCGATAACAACTTGACGAGAATCAAGGGGTACCCTCAAATATGAGTCTACCCGAAAAGCTGTTAGTAGTTTTTAATAGTAATCTGTATGTATGTTTACAGATCTGTCAGATACATGCAACGCGAGTACCACAATTAATCAAAGCTCAATTTTTTTTAAAAAAATATCAGTTAACTTTTAATTCCGAGGATATTTCCGTACCGTGATCTTTAGCAGAATAATCATCAAATTTTGGCTACTTCCGGGCAGAGGCCAACGAAAAAGAGAAAGGGCCCAACTCCAAAGCTATAACTCGTGTAACATCTACAACAAAACAAAGTTAAACATCTACATTTTGGAAAAAAAACTAAAAATTGAAAGTTTAAAATCTATTTTGCACCTTGGCGATTGTAGTTGGCACGACAGATCTCAATACAGGAATTCCTAAAAAACCACAAATATTTAAACAAACGTATAGAAAGAGAATGAAAAAATATTCCAGACCTTGTCATCGGTTTTATCACAAAGATAATGATAATAAGAATAACTTCCTCGTATAAATGAAATTTTAGAATATTTCACAGGTGGTTCCAAACCACTATGTATGTCACGTAATAAATCCATCCACACAGTTTTTCATTTTTCGAGAAGAGAAATGAACGAAATTCATCTTTTGTTTACTTTTTTTATTTATACATAAAGATTTTAGCTACCTATTTCTGTAAAAATAAGTTTCATAAATAATATTACACTCTGTTTTCAATAAAAAGACAGAGACAACAACAATTTAGGGTCCCAGAGCGCCATCTTGTGGTATTCTTAAAATACATTAAAAGAGGTCAAACTGTTTAAATTGCTTTAACTTAAAAACAGGAGAAATAAAAATAATCAATCTTTTTAGAATAAATTTAGCGCATTTAAGAGAAATTTAAACGTGTGAAATTTAGAAATTATTGTGACAGCAATTTGATTTCGTCCCCTCAAACGAAAATTGTGGCTCTGCTCTGCGACGCCTATGCTGAAAAGGATTTGATATTAATTATTGTAGTTCTTAATAATATATGAGATGATATAATAATGTAAATAAGAATTTAGCAGTTTAAAATATTTGATAAGGATTAATGACCTTTGACAATATTTACTTTTATTTTTTAAGCCATAGAATTCTACGGCTAAAATATCTTAACTATTTTTTTTCCTTTAAAGGAAAAAAATAGTTAAGATATTTTACTTGAATCGAAAAAAATATCAATTACCCTATTTAAGGATTGCTAAACTTATTTTTAAAACTCATATTTAGTGTAGTTTCTTTTCTTTTTTTAAAAAAGGGGAAGAAATTCCCGAAAAATGCTTTTAATGAAAATTAAAAAGTTTATTTGCTTGAAAATCTGAGATTTTTATGTTAGTTGCGTATATTTCTACATTTGCGTATATTTCTCTGCAACTATTTAACCGAATCAAAATATTTTCATTCGCAATATTAAACCTCGTTTGTTCAAAGGTAATTTCACGTAAATATTACTTTTCTATAATTTTTTCACATTTTTTTTTTTATTAAAGACAACAAGGTGCGTAGCCAAATTTTTCAACAAAAAATAGCACCTTTTAAGCACTCTTTAAACACTCAAAAAATATTTTTAAGCGCTTTGAAAGATATCACAAGAAATTAAATTTTCTATCACTAATAGATAAAAAAAACATTGGCAATGTTTAGTTGGTCCCCGTAATCTGTAAAAATTCGAGAGATTTTTCGATTCTATACAGAGGGCGGAAAATTAAGTCTGAAATTGAGAATCTCTTGCAAAATGCAGCAGGGTTGCACACGAGAGTCAAAAATCCTTTCCACTGAATCCAGCTCAGTATACGCAAATGCGGACCCGCCAGTATTTCATCAAACATGTAAAATAAATTATGCTTTCATACACTACAGACCGGCGGTACGCCGAAATAGATTGGGGTAGAATTTAATTGTGAAAACGTTGAACAGGTCAATGTCTTTTTACATAATTTGTGGCGAAAATCAACATGGTAAAGAAAAATATTACATTTCGGAAAAGGGAAAATTAAGCACTTTTTAAAAACATCCGTGGAAAAAAGAACCTTTAAGGGCTTTAAAAAACGAAAATCGAAAATAAGCACCCTTCAGTACTTTTTAAAAATTCAACAGGGTTTCACGAGAGTCAAAAATCCTTACCACTGAATCCAGTTTAGTATACGCAAGTATTTCATCAAACATGTAAAATAAATTATGCTTTCATATACTACAGATCGGCGGTACGCCGAAAGAGATTGCGGTAGAATTAATTGTGAAAACGTTGAATAGGACAATGTCTTTTTGCAAAATTTGTGGTGAAAATCAACATGGTAAAGAAAAATATTACATTTCGGAAAAGGGAAAATTAAGTACTTTTTAAAAACATCCATGGAAAAAAGCACCTTTAAGCACCTAAAAAACGAAAATAAGCACCTTTAAGCATTTTTTAAAAACGCTACGCACCCTGGACAATGATTTAAAAAAAAGTTTTAAAATTGTAATGTATACAAAAAATTTTCAGGATATTAAATTAAGTAATTTCCGATGACTTAGTCTAAAGTTTGAATTGAATCAGTGAAGTAGCTTTTGATAAATAAAAATTTAACGACGCGACTTTTCCGAAGTTAATTGCTTAAAAACAATTTAATAGATTTCGTTCAAAATACATAGCTTCAACTCAGAACTTTCACGATCATTATTAAATTAAATAACAATAAATACTTATATATTAATTTTTAGCATCACGTTATTCTGGGATCAATGAGTTCAATATTTGTATACTCTTCTACATATAAAATATAATCTGCTCTACTTAAAGAGCATATTTAAGGCCTACCCTTTGACCCATTTTGGAATACAAGTTAGTTTATGAAAATCGGTTAATTAGATTAATTGTTATTTAGGGTGACACTGTACAAATAAAAAATTGAACATGTTTCTTTTGATACATTACACTATTTCCATTCAGATATTTGTACAATATTAGTCCCCCATTCCAATTCATACATCTTCAAAGCAAAGTTTTCTCTCAGGTGTTATTTTAACAACCTGCTAAAACTTCAGTAATAAAATAAAAGCCAAGAAGGTGCTTAAGTTAAGTTATTTTCATACTTAAATTTGGTCATTTAAAACACACTTAAATATTAGGTAGCGGTAAGTAAGATTCAATAAAAAAATTTCAAGATTTTTTTAAAAAATTCTTTGTCCGTCTTGCATTAAGCCCCATAATAAATAAATTCTTCCCGAATAAAATTTTGCATTTCATCTTTATGTAAATTAAATACGTATTTCTGAGAGAAAAGCTTGTTACTCACAGTTGTCACCATCTCTATAGAAATATTTTCTGGGTTGAAAACAAATGTCGAAGTTTATCTCGCTTTACGTAATTTATTTTCATCTATTAGTTATCTATAGCAATGCGATAATCTAATCTTATTTAACTTTTTAGATTAGACATCTTTATTGGATTTTTACTTGCATATTTTAGGAGCATTTAATACAAAAACTATATCTATGTGGAAGAAAGAAATAATCTGTTTGTACTGATTAGACATTTACAAGAAACGGAACTTGGCCATATTATTCGTTTTAAGTGTTGTTACACACAAAAGTTGAAAACATAATTGGTCTGAGAAAGATTAAGCAATTCTTTGCACAACAAAATTTGCATCTATCGCAATTTTTTTTAATCAACTAATACATATAAACATAGAATTTTACCAATAATTACAGTAAGCAACATTTTTTTGAACTTGATTATTTACTTAATGCTGATCTATTTTCAGCTTATCTGTACATACGACTACAATGAAATGCAAAATGTTAAATGATCTCATTTGACACAGGCAAGTCAATTTTAAAAATTATAAAACAAACTTTTTAAAATAAAATTTTATTAAATAACGAATACACTCACAATTATATTACAATTGCGCTAACCCACACTATTTACAAAATTTTTCATTATAAAAAATAAATATATTTAACAATATTAGAAGTATTTACAAGACAAAAGTTCTATTAGTATTTAGGATGACTTTTTTGAACACTAAAATATTCACTTGCATAGTTATGGCTCAGTCTGGAGTGAAATTTATTTCTATTTTCTCTGGATCTAAGTAAATTATTCATGAAAACAAATCACAAGCATTAATAGCAGGTAAAAAAAAATAATTGTTTCTATATTCAACCAATACCTGTATACATACAATAATCTATCGTTTTGAGACCTAATGCAGGGAAAGTTCGAGAGCATTAATCATTTTATACAGATAGAAGAATTGAACGTATGACAAGTTTTTTAACAGTAATCGTGAGAAACTAAAATAATATATTACTAAATCAATTTTCTAACGGAATTCGCTTGATATATCAATCAGTTATATGAAGAACTAAAGACATTTTGTTAAAAATTAAATTGATAAAAATTCATGGATAAATATATTACTTCCATTAAAATCAATATTTGAGAAAAAGTATAAAAACTATTTGCCTTTTATAATATGCATTTTTAATTTTATTAATTATTATTAAAGATAGAAATGTAAAGATTTCAAAAATTTACTTCCTTTATTTTTTGCATACATTTATTCTTAAGTGTGATATACTATATAGTTTTCATTTTATAATTTATATTCAAATTACAGATATTAAATTATGAGTTTGGACGGTGAAAGAACACATTGTGTGATTTTTTTTTTTAATTTGAGGACATGAGCTTCAAAGTAAAATTTGTTTCAAAACAAAAAAGTATTTGAAAACAATGTTTATGCTAAATTCTTCTTATTTGAAGCTTTAGTAGAACTAATTAATGTTCACAACCAACCTTAACATTATACAGGCTTATTCATAATGGAGTTTCATTAGGCTATAGTAGACAAATCATAAGGCTAACTAAGACAAATGCAGAAAAATAACATTACATTATATAAAAAAAATTATAAGTTTCAACAGAGTACTTCAACGTGTTCTACAGAGCCATACAGAATACATCAAAGCGGAAGTTCAGTTCCTGCCAAACTCTACTCAACATGATTTATTGAAAAAGTCTGTGATCGTTTAATGCAAGTCTGCTATACCAGGCAGGAAAGCAGATAATAAAGTCTTATACAAATCTTAAAAAAAAAAAAAGAAGTTATAGATGAAAGGTACTGTCAATAGCGTGTTGATAGAACCATATTGAACAGAGTCCGACACAAATCAACCCATCACTTTGCTGTATACCATACAACACAAGGATTCACACATAGAACACCTGCAAATAAAACTGGAATTTTTCGGTATAAAATGCAATGTTTATTTTAAGCAGTATTTGTCTCAGTTTTTTTACAACAGCCTTCTAAAATTCCCAAGGAAATCATGAACTAACTAGTATTTAAGTAGAAAATTGTTACCTAAATGTAACATAACATGCTTTTCAATTAATTTTATAATTATAATATTTATCCAAAAATTCAAAACATATAAATCAACGAGCATCAACAGAAATACCAAATTTTGAGCAATAGCTCTTAGCTTTCATATTGTATTTCTTTGCTTTTATATTTTACTGAAAATATTGAACATTAACTTCCTTTTTTTAGTCACCAGGATTTGTAGAGACATGTATATAAATTTATTTTCCAAGTTTAATCTAAATTTCATTTGATTTAATGCTTAAACTGTTTTTCTTCATTTTTTAAAACTAATAAAAGCTTATAAATTTATATTTGGTTACAATTTAATTTTAAAAAAATTTATTTATTTTTAAAATTATGTGAATGAATGATGATTTATAGAAAAACCTTTTTTTTTTCCAATTTAAAATTAAGATGTCAAGTTATCAGTCCATTTCAAAGACTTTAAAGCTTTGATGACATTTAATAAATAACTTCTTCAGATTAACAAAGACCAGAGGTCCTTAAACTAGACTACTGCCAAATTGGGTCATAGAGTTATACTGTTTATAAAAAATTGGTTGGGGTCATAAAAATTATAATATACAATTCAAGAAACTAACTACCGAAACTATTTTCTAGTATTTTTATATTTAACATATAACCTCGATATATCTATAAAATATTTCTATCCATATATAAGGGATTGCAAAAAATCTATGTACAAAAAGAGATGTTGAGTAGAAAAGGTTTAAAAATCCTAAGCTAAATCTTAAAGGTAAATTAGGAAATTAAAAGTAATTGTCATGAATTTATATTCCTTCATGAATATATAGGCATTATATGTACACACACATATATATATATATACACTACTGGCCATTAAAATTGCTACACCAGGAAGGCGACACACCCCGAACGTGAAATTTGCTGGATGGATAAAACACGTTGTGGTATGCAAATGATCAGCTTATCAGCGCAGTCATGCAAAGCAGGCGGTGGTAGCGATACCTACAATGTGAGTAAAAGAAAAGATTTGACAGTAAGTTTCTCATACAGAAATTGAATTTGAGCGTTTTTCTTGGGTAAAAAAAGGTTATGCCTCGTATAAGAAGGAGAAATGCCTACCAGCATGTGTCTGAGTTTGATCGAGGTCGAATTGTGGCCTACCAGGATTGCGTTTTATCATACCAAAGTATTGCTGCTGTTCGCGTTGGTCAAGATCTCATGACTGTTAGCAGAATATGGAATCAATGAGTTCATGACAGTTATATAGAACGTCGTGCAGGATCTCAGCGACCCCCCATCACTAACAGCCAAGAAGACAGACATGTTATCCACATGGCCTTAAGAGATCGTACAGCTACGTCATAAACCGTGAGTCAACAAATGGGTTCATTAGCAAGACAATAAGTGTCTGCACGAACAGTTTGACGAAGTTTGCAGCAGCATGGACAGCCAGTCATTGCTTCGGCTACCCTTGAAGCTGCACAGCGCCTCCAATGGTGTAATCAATGACTTACCTGGACGCAGGAATGGCACAACGTCATCTTTTGAGCTGAATTCAGGTTCTGCAGCATCATGACGGCTGCATCTGCATTTGGGCGACATCGTGGAGCATGCCCATTGGCAGCTTGTATTCGACATCGTCATACTGGCCCATCACCTGGAGAAACGGTATGGAGTGTCATTGGATACACGTCTCGATCACTTCTTGTTTGCATTGCCGGCACTTTGAACAGCAGCCATTGCATTTCTGATGTGTTAGGTCCAGTTGCTCTACCTTATCTTTGAGGCCTCCATAAAGCTACGTTTCAGCAGGACAATGCACGATTGCTGCACTGTCCTGACGTTCCTTGACACAGAACATGTTAGCATGTTGCCCTGGCCAGCACGTTCTCCAGATCTCTCCCCAATTGAAAACGCCTGGTCAATAGTTGCCGAACGACAGACATGCCACCACTCGCCAGTCTCTACGGTCGATGAATTGTGGCATAATGTTGAAGCTGCATGGAATGTTGTATCAGTCCATGCTATCCAATCTCTGTTTGACTCAATGCCTAGGAGAATAACTGCTGTTATTTCTGCCAAGGGAGGCTGCTCTGAGTGCTGATTCCTCAGGATCTATACATCCAAATATCCTGAAAATTTAATCACTTATTCTTCCAACTATAATGTATGTGCCCAATAAATATCATTCTGTTATTTGCATTACTTCCTGGTGTAGCAATTTTAATGGCCAGTAGGGTATATATATATATATATATATGTACACACACATATATATATATTCATACTTGTATATATATTCTAATACATAATAAGAAGTTATGTTACTCCAATGGTAGTTTTTCTGACCCTTTCAGATAAGCTTTTTCTCAACTTTAGCATAAAATGCTTATTTAGTAAAGAAAAAGATTATTAAGTAATGAAAAAGAGCAAAACAAATATGTGTTTATGATAGAGATAAGGTACCTTGTAAAATTCCTATTTAGATTTTGAAACATTTATGCTTTCCCTCTGTTCAACAGAAATAAATAAAAAATATGTGATAACTCTAACTCCTGTTAAAATTAAACTGGCTAGTTTAATGTCTTAAAAAATGTGTAAGGTTAAGAAGTTAATAGAAAAAATGTAAATTGTAATAGTGACTGCTAAATAAATTTGTTACTTAAATGATTAGTGTTTTTAAAGCATTGGAGAGAGACTTTTCAATTGTAGATGTAATTTTTTTTTTTTAAATATACTATTTAATCTTCAACTAGCATTTAGGTCATAAAAATATAGTTTCAAGTGCTTTAATTTTGAAGTTCTTCATCAATGCTCAAAAATAAAGAAATAGAACCGAATTTATCTATAAACTGATGAATTAAAAGGCAAAGGTTATACCAATAAAATGTTAGCATGAATTCACAAATTTTTTTTCATGAAATTTTTTTTTGCTATAAAATATGCCTTGATAATTTGGAAGGCACTGCTAAATTCTATTTTTTACTATGTGTCAACAACAATAACAACCTGAGAAATATACAAGTTACAAATAGTCACTTTCTAATCCCCTTAAATGTTTATATTAGAATATTTGTTTATGGGAGCTGATTGTTTCCAATGTGGGTCCAAGCAAAATAATTAATTTTCGTCAATGAAATCTGAATTTTATCTAATAATAAAAAAATGTCTTGTGAAAGATAAAAGCCTATACCATTCCTGCCCATCACAGATCTCTACGGTATCTCGATTGCCTATTCTGCGCTTCAAGCCCATGTTGGTGGAGAACAGGGATGAGAGGAAACATAGGGTAACCTGAATTTTATCACTACCACCCATCCAAACAACTGTTTACCCCTTGACTCTTAGCAATAATGGTTAAAGACAAATAGACAAAATTATTTATAAAAAATATCAATTTCATTTAAAAGTGCACCAAAACATAACTTAAAAAAAAGTTCTTTTTGCTTTTACTGCAGTTGGTTTTATAAATTTGATAATTCTAAAAGTATAGTTTTCTCAATCCATAAAAAAGTGGGCACGAAGATAAAAATTTTAACTTCCTTAAATATGTTTGAAATTTTGAATATTAATAGCAAAAGTATATACACTTTTTTCTATTTTATTAAAAAAGAATGAAAATTTCTGTTATTAACTTGCTTATTTTAATTTATAAAGTGACACAATGTCTGCATGGAAAGACTATACCAAAAAATCTTTGTGTTTCATGGTCTCGCATAGCTGAACAAGTAATTCTGAAAAGACTCTTAACTTATAAATGCATAAATCTGACAGCTATTATTGAAAGTTTTTGCCCACAGAAAAGTTTTCACTAATCTTCATTACAAAAGATAAGTACATTTAATTTTACTCTTAGTTATTGCTATATCCACAACATAAAGTTACATCATCCACTGAAAAATTTCTTTGAGTGTAAGTTTTGATACCTTGAATTGAAAAATGTCTTTCAAATGGTGTTCAAAATTTATGGATCAAAGAGCCAAAACTATGTAAGTTCGTCCAAGAGTCAGTAAACAAATAGTAACATCAACATGTGGCTTTGAAATGCTACTGGAATATGTCATTCTGTATCACTACTATGCTTGTTTTTTCAATTCTCTTTTTTTAGCTTTATTAAATTCTCGTTCTTCTTCGGTAACATAAGGATAGCATTTCATGTGGAAAATAGGACAGTTCACTTTAAACCTTTCATCTAAAATTAATATACAGATTCAATCATAAACAGAATTTACACAAGAAAAATAAATACAATATATTCAGAAGTGGCGTAGCTAAAGGATATCAAAAATTTATTCATAAGAAATCGATAAAGATACAAGAAAAAAACACAAAATTGGTTCAGTATCTTTTCCTTTCCCATGAAAATAATTTTTAATGAGCCCTGGAGGACTCAATGTAATCATATATCATATTTTTGTGGCTTAATACAAAAAAAGTCTACATTTTTAAATTGTGGTGACCTAATTTTAATTATCTTGAAAAAATAACGTAGTGAGTACATTCATATTCATATGATTTCATTTTGATTAAAGTGATTGATATTTGTGGTTCTTGCCATTTATATTTAAAATGCTTTAATTAATCATGCATGAAAATTTAAAAACTATAAAACTATATATATATATATATATAT